ACTAAGGTAGAGTGCTTTAGTGGGTATGCTCGACTATTAGTTACCCTAATCCCTAATCATAAACATTCTAGCTTCCACTCTTTCAATATGCACACATATAACTATAATCCATCTTTGCTCTTTATATGATATTACACTAAAATATATTGACAAACTCTATCTTAAACACATAAATCTACCTTCTCTCTTAATCTTTATATGCCATACTAAAACCTTTTTTAAAAACTTTAGGTCCAGGACACATTATTTTAAAACTGAAAGGTATTAGCGATATTATCGATATGAATAATGATAATATATATTCTTAGTTTCAAGTCTTTAGTTTGACAGACGGACATGGCCTGGTCGATATATAGACCTAGCATAATTGTCTCAAAGTCGCCTTCTGCCGGCAGGAACAAGCCCTAGCAACAGCCCATCATACCCTGGCTACCCATTTGAATATGAATGCGGACTATAAAAAATATGCTAACTGATATCTAGACAAAGATAAAGGCATTTGCATTTGTACAAATTAACTTGAATGACAGATAAATAAGTATAAACATTTAAATCAACAAGTTTCGACTCTACGTTTCTGTTGGCTACTTACCGCTAAGTGCCAGAGGCCAGATCGGCTGACAGAACGAGAACGGGTTAACTTTTTGTGTTAGACCGATAGTTATCGGTGGGGCAGCTCATGTTTAGCTATGAACTAGATTTGTCACCAAAGCCAGCAAATAATATGAATGGAGACCAGCTCAGAACTGGCTCAAATGCCAGCTAAACAAGTTTGGCAGCTAAGTGTACAAATTATCTGCTCAAGTTTTATTGATAGAATTGTACATCAATCAACAATCAATTGCTTAATGTTTGCTTTTTTTTTCTTTTGTTCAAAAGTTCAAAGTGTCAAGCTGCGGCACGAGCCAGCCGAGAAAATACAAAAAAAAGGTGCCAAAGTGTCTAAGCAAATTTTTAAGCGTTTTGGCCATCGCTGATATTAAATGGCCAACGGCCAGCTGCCATCATAATTATTGAGTTTTATTTCTTTTTTAGCGATAAAAAAGCTAATTACTAAGTTAAACAATGATTAGATCCAGCTTGTTTTTGCCTGTTCTATGTTATGGCTATTCTATGCTGGTTCGTTCGATTTGCGACCAATTTGCATAAATTAATTCTATGCCAATTAAATTTTAAAATCTCTGTCAACTTTCACAGCGCGTGTCGCATATTGAGAATGAGAAACGTATATTGAAAATAGGAGTGTGACATTTTGGGAATATAAGAAACAGCTGCCGCCGTCTGGGTCAAGTGCCTGGCTTCTGCCCCAGCTCAATTAGTTGTGAACAACATGTGATTGGTTTAATGCGGAGGCGGAAATGTATACGAAATACGAATCGCAACATTTGTTTATTTGCTCGAGCAGCCATTTAAAAACATTTTATTGAAGCATTTATAAATCACTCGAGCACACTTTGGACATTCTACAATTCTGTCTGTCTAACTATCTGAGATTGTCTGTTTTTGGTTTCTGGCCACATTTTAGAATACTCGCATGTCTACTTGAGTATGAGTTATGCGGACAAAATGCAGAGTGCACTGAGAGAAAAATCAAGATCTCTGCTTTAAAGCCTGAGTTTTTCACTCCACTTTAAATCTATTCCATACCCTAAGCTGAACCAAAATGTGAAAAAAATCAGCTAATTAATGCTTGGATTAAGAGCAAACAAAATAAGCGGGAATATTATATTCTAGTAAAAATATTATGTTAAGCGTGTCTTTCTTGAATATTCTCAAACTAAGTATAAATCATCCGAGTTATTGAAAAAACTATACAAATGTTAAGACTTGGTTTAAGAGAAATAAGTTTTGAAGAAGCTTACAAGATTGTGCATAGCTTATGGAGGAAATTGAGTAAACATTCAAGTTTTGAAACAAATATTTTTAAAGTAAGAATAAAAGCGACGCTAATGAATTCTTGACCCTTTCTGGCATTTCTACCTAGCTTGTGTACAATTTGTTCAGTTTGCCCCACGACTATGCAATATGGAAATACTTCGGTTTAGTTAGGGTATCAAAAATTTCGTTGTTTGCGTTTCTGCTTTACTTGATTCGTTATTAATTGAATATTTATAATGCTAATGCGGACTGCTGCTGGCGTTGGTGAATGTGCGGAAACACGTCAGTTATTTACGATTCATTGTTTCGGACACTTGACAAAATCAGTCTGAGTGGATGACAGGAGCGAGTCAACATGTAGTACGAGGGGTCGGGAAAGATTGGCTGGCTAATTCACGGCAAAAGAATTTGAGACGGCTTTGGCCAAGGCTAGCCTGCTGGCAACATAATTTAAATTGTGCAATTTAGCTGGAGCTTTGTTGAATTTATGAGCTTTTAGCATGCAGTTATTGTCAATTTATGCTAAAGATACGTAGAAGTGTTTAACCTAGCAACTTAATTTGGCATTGCGCATACGCCGCGTGCGCCGACATGTTCCGATTGAAATGTTAAAGAAAAACACAAACAGATGCTGGCCGATTGTTAACTGTGTTGACAAAAGGCCACCGCCTCGATGCCTTTGCTCAGCCATGCAAATTTGTCATATTTTTGTTGGTATTTACACAGCTCAATTCAAATGCAAAACCTCAAAACCGGCAGGCGATGCCGCAGTCGAAGCCAAAGAACGAGGCGTGTCTCAATAAAACGTTTTCTTTTAAGCCATAATTTGTAGACGTGGGAATCCGCGTTGTTGTTGTCCATCATTTTTGGCCTGCGCATTGTTCTTATCGCCGCATCTGGCTTGTAAACGAGCAATAAACATGGCTCGGATAACAGGTCGTATACAATATATATATATATCATGTTACCTGGAACTATTGTCACGCCACGCTCGCCAACATCATAATTAAATTAGGCGTTGCCTAAGACGCAAGGTTAATGCTCATCGTGGGCCACTCGACTTTCAATTAGGGCCGATTTTGGTGCATTTGGATAATGATGCGACACTTTTGGGCTCCATAAATATTGGGCACATGTTTTGATTGCCGGCATTTCAGACCAATCGCATCGGATCGGCTCATGGCTTTTGATTCAGCTGTGCGATAGCTTTTTGTGTGTACCGGTTCTTTTCATTTTCATTTTTATTGATGTTTCTCAAATCTTTGACTATGCTAATTTGGTGCGAGTTTATTTTTGTTCCGGTGCTGCCAAAGCTGAACGGCTGAAATGATAAACATATTCACTTTAGATGATTATTGTCATAAAAATAAATAAAATGGGCTATATATATCTTTAAATGCGCTCCAATTCAATGCACAACAACTCCATAAATCTGGCACGCCCCGACTAACCGATTTACGGACTCGATGCAAATGTTCCTGTTTAGTTTCCGTTTTCCATATGAAATGACTGTCGAAGAAATATTGACGCAACCGTCGCATGCGAAACCGTGGCTAATGACAGATTTATCGATGCTTAGTTTCTTGGCTCGAAATTTAATATGCCAACAAAGTCGTTATTAATTACTTTTCAATTTTCTAATAATCGTAAAAACATCTATTAATTTCGATGCGCGCAGCATGGTTGAAAAATGCGCATCGTTCGACTGTTTGCTTAGATTTCGATGTTTTCGATGACAAAGATTCAATTAATCAAGGCGCACAACGCCAGCCGCCGAGCAGGTGAAAGGCAACATGATGTCACACTCGCAATACAATGGAGACCAGGTTCTAACTCATTTTTATGTTCCCATCCACAAAATGGCCGACTAGCTCAGAGGTTTGTAGGCCAGCCTTGATGCCAAAAAAAGAGTTGCCTGCATTTGAAAGACTTGAGTGATACACATTGAGCTAGAGATGGGCGCGGGCCGTGCTTTTTACGACACGGTCCAACACGAGCAATAAATGTACTCTTTCATATTTAAAATATTATCAACTATGACCTATAATTCATGTTGTTTCTCTATATATGAACTAACGACTGGGCTTGAGCTCAAAGTTGGTAGCATTTTCTTAACTCGATTTGACTGTAGAGATCGTGACACATGCTCATCTCTAGCTTCGGTTGTGGTGAATGTATTTCCCCCACACACATGCACGAAAACGGAAATGTTATTTGTATGCCCCAAAAGCTGTTAAATTTGTTATTAGTTTGTTGTCCATTTGTTTGCAGCAGAGGTCAAGTGCGCAGACAAACAATTGTCGATGGGCAGACAATCTCCTCAACTTTGTTTATCAAAAGATTTGGCAGCATCTCGTAAAAGACAATATATTTCCCCAGCCTCAGCTAAGCACAATGTAAGCTGCTTGTAAGTGTAGCCATGCCCACTATTTTGGGTAAAGGCCCAATAGACTTATGTGGCACTAAAGTAGAAAATAAAAACTTCAAGCTATCTGCATAATTAGAGGGCTATACTTCATAGAAGTGTTGGCTAAAAATATTCTTCTTACAAAATATTATGCAAATTGGAGCGTATAAAACAAAAGACTTAGGCAACGAACTTCACTTATCAGCCACGAGCCGTGCCAAGCACCGCGCAGCACACTTAAGAGAGAATGACAGAGAAAGAGAGAGAGAGAGAGAGAGAGATAGATAGAGAGAAAGAGAGTATGTCTGATCGAGTTAACTCTTTGGGGGCCAACTATCTTCTTTAGGCCTTTGTCGGTTTGTTGTGTCTTCGCCTGATGCGTCACGGTTCGTGACGACACCAAAGTGATTGTGATTGTGATTGTGACTGTGTCTAGCGATTCGGCAGATGCTCAAACATGTGACCACTTCTAGTTATGTGGTTTCTATTCGACCAATATCATATTATATAATTTAAATTTTGATTTGAATTTGTTTGATGTTGTTAAATTTGTTGTTGCTGTTGCTGATGTTGTTGCTGTTTCTGTTACTATATTTATAAGACCGTGTGTGTGTGTTGTTATTTTTGGCGGTCGTCGCTTTACGCTGCTTCTCTTAGACCCACATAGCGAACCGGACGGGCCAGATATAGTATAAATTTCATAGAAACTGCCCAGCTCATCATCATTTGTGCTTTGAACTTCTTGAGTGTAAATTGCTCGTGCGCTTCTGGACGAGAAATTTTTGCGTAACCGAACCGAAAATACAAATATATCTAAATTTAACAAAATGGTATGTGCTGATCCTCCAGCAAGGAATAAACTGTGCTCATAGTGTACTAAGGACTAATGTGACCAAAGCAAAAATAAATATATATATATACTTATATATATTTATAAACCTTGTGTGAAAAGCTTAAACGTGAACTCAATTCAAGTGCTCCCCAACTCAAGTGTACAGCTTCATTGGGAACTGACGGGCTCGAGTGGAGGCACTCGTGCATTCCATTCGCGCCCAGTCTGGAGCTTAAAATAAACCTAAATGACCGCAAAATTAAAGTGTACTTCAAAAATGTTGCTCTTGTTTCCGGCAGAAATTCTTCGTGTTCATCGTTTTGGCGCTGGTTGGCTGCGCGGCTGCCGCACAGCTGCCCGACTCGGCCACACAGGGACCCAATCCGCAGGACATTGCCACACCCGAACCGGAATACATTGACATCGAGGAGCCGGCACCAGGCCCAGCTGCTGCTCCTGCGCCTCGTCCAGTCGCTGCCCCGGCGCCACGTCAGCTCTCCGTTGCGCCGTTGCCACGTCCCATTGCCCGGCCCATCGCGTTGGCCCAGCCAATCGCCTATGCCCAGCAGCCGATTGTGCAGCGCGCCCAGTACCTGCCGCCCCTGGCGGCCCAGCAGCACCAGGTGCCCGGCCATGCATACAGCAGCCAGTCCGGCTACCAATACCGTCGTCCAGTCTATGTAAGGCGCTTCTATCGTCAGCGCCGCTACTGAAGAGGGGCGGATGCCTAGCAATTAACTTTGTCTATTTAATATATATAATTTCTATATGATTTCTTACTTGTTTTTGGCTTTTTTTTAATTTACACACCATATATATATTTTTTCTCTCCTGCTCCCGCTCCCGCTCCCGTTCCCGATCTCCCGTTCCCGCTTCCTACTACTCCTACTACTTCTACTGCATCTACTGTCTGCACGCATGGAACTGCTATCGGCATCGTTAGCAGTAGACCAAAGCACACATTATATCAGCTTCCATCCAACTACTACTCAATTAACTAACCAAACTCTAATCAATGGCGTTTTTCCCACGAAAACACAAACAAACAAACTAAACATGAAAGTACAAAAAGACAAATGAAGTTCGGAAGACGAAATCGCATCGAAACAAAGTATTTAGTTATTGTTGAATTGCAAACTCAAATAAATAAAGATAAATTATTTGTAAAGAAAACGAACCACATGAATATATATATATGGTAGTCTTTCATTTGCACGGCCAAGGTCAGTGCATGATACGCCATATCGAAGCATGACTGTAATTATGCCATTCACAGCTCGCATCAAAGTCAAACAATAAGATATACAAGAAATGTGTGTCGAACAATGCACGCAGAGGTGTTCTTATTAGACCCGCTGCGAACTCTAACTGACCAGTAGTTACTCATCATTAATCACGAAACCCGATGATATGGAGACCTGCGTGCAGTACTTGTCTCTATGACAACTGAGTACCATTTGCATACGGAAGCTGTACTGTTCAATGTCTGCCAGCTAAATAATTGAAATAATAATCTGCGCAATGGTTTTTACAGAGAGGGACAAGATGATAGCTGACTTGGTAGACTATTCTCTAACGATGGCAAGACGATGTTAGTATAATTTATAATTATAAGGAGAGTCACAATATGAGAGCTGACTTGATAGACTCTTTCATTTCCCATTTTTCCCCCTTGAAATTATATAAGTAACTTATTAATAAAGGTAGAGCCTTGCCCTTTGGAACATACACTCTTTAGCATATCACATTTAAGCCCTGAAAATTGCATTAAAATCCGATTACTAAAAGCGAAGTTCGCGAAGTTAGCGAAGAATGCATTTACCCATATATCATGTGGGGCAAGGAGAAGCCGCTGAATGTTCTTTTTTTGCTTAAATTATATTATCATAGAAGGCAGCTGAATGATTTGTAACGTCAGCAGGGTATGTTATAGTCGGGCACTTCCGTAGTCTTGTTTTATCTTGTGAACTTTCGGGAGCCATAATATTTTATATATTTTTATAAGTTGCGACTTGGAATGGTGATTTTTTTCTGTTAATGTCGTTTAACGAGCAGCGCGTCAAAGACAAATACGCAAATCTGCTAAAATACTTTCAAAATAAATTAAATTAACCGGTTTACGATCTCATGTTATTTGTCTAGATTTAGCTGCTAGATCGTCTCCAAAAGTGCAAACAAATGAGTTAAGGAGCCTTTCCAACGGCTCCGCTTGTCTGTTCGGGTGGTCAACTCTCAACTAGCTCTCGGCCAAGTGCTTTTGATTGATGAATTGATTGCCCATTTTTATTGTGATACAATCGATCACAAAATTTGATTCGATTTATGACAATGCCGTGGTGTTAATGTCTGCCGAATGGGCGTCCACATGCTGCTGTAAGACTTCCGCATGGAGGCTCCTTCAGATAATTACGATAACCGCAAGCTGGCCTTGAATCTTGATTTGATTAATTACATTTACTTACATGAGCATGTCCACATTCTGATATCTCATCCGGGCAAACGCTTTGTTCTGCAATGATCTGCACATCTCACAATGGGATATTACGCGGATGCGTAAAGGAAAGCAATTTGTTGATTGGCATTATGTAAGGCATGCTCTGACATGTCTACACAAATTGACTTGAAGAGATTCTCACAATTCATCTTGAATTTAAACTGTTATACTATGAGAATAAAGAACTTACAGCATATCTTTTGGATCTGTTAAAACCAGCCTAAAAGTAGATAATATATTTGAATTAAACAAAGGCAATAACAATCTCATTTTTATGCATTTAAAATTTATATTAAATTGCTGAGAATGAGAAGTGAAATATCTCAGTTCAACAAAGTCTGATCTTAGAATTTTGATATTCTTTTTTTACATACCAATAGATAGCTCGGAAGGCATATTATTCGTAGATCCGAAATTGCTTTCTCTTTGTTTTCACCAATAAAATCTGCGTTGCGAACGAAATAGTCAATGGTTGCTATTTGACCTCAACCTCCTTGGTAAACTTACCAAGATAAGAGTCCTGGTGAGCCTCTAGATCCGAATCCTTGTAGAATGCGTCCGTTTCTTTAAGCACTATTCTCCATTCTGAAATGAACCATATTTAAAGATCAAATGTTAATGTCTCGTGAATTAAGTTTTTAAATTCAGCTAGATAGAAAAAAATGTATCAAAAATTTGTCTATATCTAAAGTTTATCCAGAGCTTTGATTAATATAGCTTGTTGGACTTGTACAAATTGTACTTTATATCAATTGGCATACAAAATATCAAATTTAAATCAAATGTTGACCAAACTGCAAGGGCTTACACTATAATTTTCTTTAAAATTGCCTTAGATTTAAGATATACCAATTTCTCACTTCAAATGTCTATATCTTAGTTAAACTAATTTACATCTTTGAGCGCCATTTATTGCTGGACTTATTCTTTTTTAAAAAAAGTAGAAGACCTTTTTTGAACATAGAATAGAAGCCAACTTGATAAATTATAAATATTATCAATTAAATCAGGCCTTTGAGCAATAAATTGGCTTCAGTTTATAATATTAATTTTTTGAGAAATAATCTATTTACTGCCCAAACGCACTGTTTTATCACGAAGTGTTTAGAATTCGTAGACACCTTTCTCTTTAAAATGCTTGGCTTATCAAATTCTGGCCATTTGCAATATATTTATATTTATTATAGAAACCAGTTGCAACGTGAACAGAAATAGCTTGATTCGGCTCTTAGGAATCTCAAGCGCTAATAGCTCAAGTATTATTTATGTTCCTATGTATATTTATATATATATGCAGTGCTGATGACAATAACTATTGCAGAGCTAAACAATACGAAAACATTTAAGGCATTCAAGCGAAATTATCTAATTGATTAGCATAGCATTAGGAGCGTGCGGATCGGCTGGCGAACTGGTTCCACAGCATAATTCGGCATTAGATCAGATAAGCACAATTTACATATTATATATAAAATGTATTAATTTTGTCAACAAGTTGCCGCAGAGCAAGTGCCAGCCAAATTGAGCAGAGCTCATTATTTATAGTATTTCCTGTTGGCATTAGTTTCACTTTCTAGCATACAGAGCACCCGCCTCTTCGCACCTTTTGGCCGAGACAATGGCAGCGTCTGTGATCCGCTGACCAGGTGAATGCCATAAATCATCGGCTCCGGCGGGGGGTAAAAGCTGTACGAAATCAACATTTCGGCTTGTTTGGCTTCAATTACTCATGCGAATTAACAAACGAACAAACGGTCCAATAAATCAGCACGCAATACGCCAAGAATTTTGGACATACCATCACGATCCGCCTCGGCTGTGGGTGTTCGATCTCGAGCACAGCCCACATGAATGAATGAATGAAACGGTTTTGGTGAGTGTTTTGTTTGAGTATTATATACATTCAGTTGTATTCGATGACGCGTAATTATGCTGTCGCGGCCCTCGAGCTGAGCACTCGTAAATGTATCTCAAAGAGGATTTTCCCCCACAACAGAAGTTCAAGTTCAAAGCTTGACGTTGAGTTTCTTGTTGATATTTCGGCCGGCAACTATAAATAATAAATATGAATATTCAAATTAACGTGCTGACTAAAGTTTCAATAATGCTATAAAATTTATAATATCACAGAGCGCATTTTTTCCCCAACACAACTGAAGCTCAAGTTCAAAGTTTAAGCTGAGGCTTCTTTTTCTTTTGTGACTAGATGAATAAATACATATTGATGTACATATATATATCAATATGTATTTATATATATACATATACTTATATTTATATATATATGTATATATAAGCGTATGTGATATTGCATAGAAGACTTTTCCCCTTCAAGAGATATTTAGTTTAAAAATTTGAAGATATGTTATTATGTTTATATGTATTTTGGGCTTTTTAAATATTAATATGAAAAAGATATTTAAAAGCCATACAAAAATGCATAAGCTGAGTTAAGCATCAACAATATCTTAAGGAGGATTTTTCTCTCAAAAACTAGAGCTCAAATTCAATTGATTTTAGAAAATTTACAGCTTTTCTATTTTTAGTTGCATTTGGGGCTCTGTCATAAATAAATAGCTGGACAATTTAGAAGTACAATTCACAGATAGACATAAAACATATATAAGTATATACACATGGGGTTAGGTAATATCAGGTGGCAAACATGGCTAGCATGGGTGAAGAATGGGTTTAGTAGAAGAAGGGCGTGGCGGGTGGATTGTAATGATATCCATCCTCGCTGTGCGGCTCGACAATCTCCTGCGGCGGCAGATATGTGTTATACGGCTCCAGCGGTGCGGCATACGAGGGAATGGGAATTTTGTAGGTGGGCAACACCTGAGCAGGTGGCAAGTAGCTGCTGTCCGGCTGCACCACCGGGGCGGGCGGCAGGTAAGTTGGTGTGGGCGGCAGATAGGTTGGCTTGGGCTGTGCTGGTGGCAAATAACTGGGCTCCGGCTCCTTTGCCGGCAGGTAAATGGGGGCGGGCGTTGGCAGCTCAAAGGGTATGCTCGGTGGCTCGTAATTGTAGCCAGGATGCGCGTGCTCCTCGTGCTGATGATCGTGTCCAAACAGATGCGAGACATCGGCGGCAACCAGCGCTAGGCTGAGCAGAGTTAGTGCAAGGACTTTCTAAATGGCACAGAAGAGAATTAGAATAGATGATGAGAGGATGAGAGGATCCGAAACTAACCATTTTGGCTGGACTGTGAGACAACGTTCTCGATGCGCTGCTTGCTCTGAAATGATACACTTTCCGGCAAGTGCTTCTTTATTTATACAAACAGCGAGAACCGAGCAAGCAATAGAGCGATCATCAACTCGGTTCCGTCACAGTCTCCGCTTCAGTCTCCATCTTAGTCTTCGTCTGATGCGTTTACGACGCAACTCTTGTCTCACCCCTGAGCTGCCTTTATTCGCATATAAATTCTATTAATTCTCTTTTTCAATCGCCTTATGCGTTGATCTTTGTTGCTCTGCACGAAGCGGACATTAAATCTGCACTTAATTATAAGCTAGAGGAATGGACATCTGTGCGAATGAATCAGCTTAGGCAATAGATGCTCTTACACTCGACCCTGGCCGGCTCTTCCTGAAGTATCTTATGTTTTAGTTAAGAAATTGTAGTTTGAAAATTTCATTGTTTAAAGACAAGGAGTTGGCTTGAACTCTTAGCCGAGCTTTCGACTTTTCTTTGGGACTTACATCCTTACAGGGTATATCATGACCTATATGAACTGAATCGAATCAGTCTTATATTAAGATAAGAATTAGAAAAGATTTGTATTTTGTGCTCAAATTACCATATCTCTTTGCAAGGGTATTGAATATGCGGCACACCAAACATAACTATGCCTACTCTGGTTTTTATAGCCGACAGCTATAAACGCCTCCCATTTAAAAATGAGTATTTAAAATTATTTAGCTTTGGAAGTCCCCACATAGTAACATTTTTATAGATTTTTTTACGGGCTACACTAGTTTTGGCCAAGATCGAGAGCCAATACAATCGATTGGCCTCAGTCGACATCGGCCACTCATCTCGGGACTGAAAGAGGTCAACAAAAGCGACGACGCTGCCGGCTGCAATTGGCAATTAGCGATTTTGTTTAATGTTTTGTGTAACAGACACCAATCAATATCCATTCCCATCATTATTCATTTTCAAATCTACACCACAATTATAATTATAGACCCCGTCGATAGCTGCAAGTGTCGAAGCTGAGGCCGCGATGCGGCGCGTAGCGCGTGCTTCGGGTCTCTAAAGTAGACTGCGACGGTGTTTGATTGGGCGCTTTTGTTTTTGGCGGCTCTATGACCCTTTTCTTTTGAGTGGGGTATATCGAAAGACAATATATTGAAAGCTGACCTTAGACAATGGCCAATTAGCTTTAATCGCTTTCGCTTAGACTGTCGAAACATGCGTTCGCAGCGCGACAAAGCGGAGCAGATTATAAAGCAATAAAATATACAATTTCATCTCTAAATGCAGGAAAATTTCATAAATATATCGAAAATATATACAGACCTTATTCAATGATGAATACTTCACACTTCCGAGCTTTCTAGCCTAGAATGTGAACCCCAATCCTTCTCCCGCAGCTGAAACGGTCAGTCCTGCATAGAGTTAGACCAAGTTTGATTTCATGAAAATACAAAAATAAACAAAGATGTTATTCCATAATCTTCTTTCTGTACTTAATTGTAAGGTTACCTGTTCGAGCGCCCGACTTGCCATCCTTTAACTAGACGGGGATTAGTCATTAGTAGACTTAAGTTCAAAGTAGCCAATTTTATTTAAGAGCCTGTTTGTTGACGATCCGAAAATAAGAAGTTATTCAATTCTCTGTTCTTTGTACTGAGCGGCGAAGTTGCCAGCTCGAACCCGCGACTTGTCATCCTTTAGACTAGACTAGACTAGGATTAGTTATTCCTTAAGAGCTTGTTTGATGATGATTCGAAAATAAATAAATATATAGAAGCTATTCAATGATTTGTTCTTTGTACAAAGCGGCGAGGTTGCCGGCTCGAACCTGGGGGTTTAAACTCGCATCTTTGTTTTTGGCTTGGACTTTGCTCTTTTAAACGAACTCTATATCCCATACTTATATTTATTAAAACTCCAAGAGTTGTATTAAACAGTAGGTATAAGTTTGGGATACTTTGTAGCAGGGTATCTGTCAGTTCAGCAATTGTTTTTTTCTTAACTTCTATTAGTGCATATCTGTAATATCTTTAACAATCAGCCTTGGCTTGCATCATATATCAATCTCATGCTGTGTGCTGTAAATGAGAAAACTTTTGGCTTAATTGAAATAATTTAAATTACCTCCAAATTGTCTGAAGTTCTGGATAATTATGGATTACAAGCGATCGATTGATTTAAATAACAGCATATTCCATGTAAATGTGTAGATTTTGTGGTATATTTTATTCGCACAACTTAAAATTAAATTTGTGTGGCATCGGCTCAAAACTTGAAGCGGCGCAGCGGCTGGTTGTATTGATAGCCCGGATTGCCCGGCCCAGTTGGAGCTGGCAGCGATGCCGACTGGCTCAGGGGCAGCGCATACGAGGGTATGGGAATGTGAAAGCTTGGCTCGGGCTGTGCCGAACGTGCCTCAGACTGAGCGGGCGGCAAGTACTGCGACTCCGGCTGTGCAGGTGGCAGATAGTTGACCTTGGGTGGGGCGGGCGGCAGATAGTTGGCCTTGGGTGGCGCGGGCGGCAGATAGGTTTCCTTTGGCTCCGCAGGCGGCAAGTAGGTGGCCTTGGGCGCAGCTGTCGCTGGCGGCGGTGGTGGTGGCGGCAGGCTTGGTGGAATTTTGGGTGGCAAATACTTGGTCTCTGGCTTCGCCGCAGACTCTCCGGGTGGCAGGTACTTGTTCTCAGGTTGGGCGGGCGGCAAATACTTGCTGCGTGGCTTCTGTGGTGGCAAGTATTCCGCCTTGGGCGTCTTCACTGGAGGTGGTGGTGGCGGTGGTGGCAAGCTGGGCGCCACCTTGGGTGGCAGATACTTGGTTTCCGGCTTAGCCGCTGGCAGATACGTGTTGCTTGGCTTCGGTGGTGGCAAATACTCCGGCTTGGGCTGGGGTGCAGGCGGTGCTGGTGGTGCCACATAGTTGTAGCCAGATTTAGGCTGATGCTGACGCAGTGCATCGAAATGCAAATCGATGTGCACGCCGTGATTGCGATGGGAGTCATGCGCATGCGAGTGCGAGTGCGTGTCCTGGTGGTGCGCGTGGGGATCCTGATGCAAGTCGTGGTGGTGCGAGTCATGATGATGCGGATCGTAATGATGTGAGTCGTGATGGGAGTCATGATGGGAGTCATGATGGGAGTCATGGTGGGAGTCGTGGTGCGAATCATAATGCGAATTGTGGTGCTGATGATTGCCTCCTCCAAACAAGTGGGAAACGTCGGCGCGTCCACTGCCGCAAATGGCCAAAACGGCCAGCAGAAGGCACAAGGGTTTCTGGAAAATAAGCAACAAAAAACCAATTATTAATAGGAAAGCGATATTCAGGCACAATATTAGCTACCATTTTAATGGGGATAGTGTGGCCTGTGGCTGTCCAAAGCAGTTGCTGCTGCGCTTTGCTGACAACTGGAAATAATGCCTCAGCTTGTTGGGGCTTAGGCTTTTATACGATGTTGCAGCTGAAAGTGGCTCCAGCTAAATATTTGGGAAATAATTAATTAAATACTTACTTGTTGTTTGTGTCGTCGCGAAGAGACAAAGGCCAGCGCATAATTTGCCTGCTTCACACTTTTCTTGGTTTTCTTGAACTTGAAGCCGTGGCCAATTATTGCCGTGTATTTATGATACCCTAAAAATATTTAAAAAGGTGAAGGGTTTTAATGGAAATGTGGGTCACAGAAAGAAAGAAATCTTCTTACCTTATATATTTTCATTATCAGGCCGTTATCTTCAGCTGTCTGTGCTTTTCTTTGAGCTCGTGGATATTTGATATTACAAAAGCTAAAAACTTTATATTGATATATATAATAAGTATATTCTCCTATGCCAAAAACCGACCGAGTTTATCATTTTAATTTCGATATTTGTTATCAGCCTATCAATAAATATCGATTTTGAGATATGACTATTTAAGGCTCGAGCATGGTATTAGGAGATACAATTTAAATTAATTCATGGATACCTTTCTCCATTCCAATTCCTTAATAAAGGTAGAGCCTTCCGACTTGGTATATACACTCTTTTGTAAGCCAAATCTTAGTCTTGAACATTTCATTAGGATCTGACAATAAACACCTAATTTAATAGCGAAAACTTTTCTTATAATCTATGTTTAATGCAAGAAGAGTAACCGCGCCGCTCTATTTTAGGGTATTTCCAGGGCATTTCCCAGTCGAGCACTGCCGACTTATGCTCTGGCACCCTACGTCTAAATCGTCGTGAAAATAATTAAAACGAATTTCGCTCTTAATTGGGTTCACAACAACACACGAGACCCCTCGCATTTGGGACTCATGAATATGCAGAGCAGCCGTCGTGCTTCAATAAGATAATTTTCAGTTCAATTTGGGTTATTTTGGACAATTGGTGATGATTGGGAGTTGAACGATATCAGTTTAACAATTAGCTAACAAACGTGATTTATTAAACATATCGGAACTTATATAATACCAACGACTAGGCAAACGGGAGAAATAACAGCATTCCGGGTCAACATAAACAAGTAGTGGAAAGTGGCTTGGCTTAGAATATGAAGGGCTCGGCGGGTGCGTCATAGTGATAGCCCGGCTCTGGCTTCGGCTCCGGCACAATGATGGGCGGCAGATATGTGGGCGCAGGCGTGGGCGTGGGCGCAGGCGTCGTCGTCGTCGTCGTCGTCGTCGTCGTTGTCGTAGTGGGTGGTGGAGGCGGCAGATAGGTTGGAGCTGGCGTTGGGGCAGGCGTCGTTGTGGTGGGTGGTGGTGGGGGTGGCAGGTAGGTGGGCACAGGTGTGGGTGGTGGCGGTGGCAGATAGGTGGGCACAGGTGTGGGTGGTGGCAGGTAGGTAGGTGCGGGCGTAGGTGCAGGCGTCGTCGTGCTGGCTATTACAAAGGGCACCACCGGCTTGGGATAGTCGTAGCCGTAGCCATGTTCGGGTTCCGGCTGCCGTTCGAGCTGCTCCAGCGGCAGATGGGAGACATCGGCAGCGGCCAGGGCCAGTAGGCAAACGGCCAGTGCGAGGCTAAGGAATGCGTTCTATAAAAAAGAAGACAACAGAGTTCAGCTTGGAGCTGCAGCAGTAGATCAGCCGCGGGCAGCACGTACCATGTTACACCTTGGACTCGAAGACGTACAATGATTGACCAATAACAGCTTCACCTGTTTATTTATACCCACAATTCTAACTTCGTGAGCCACTGTCCATGGTGGCTCAAAAGGCCAATTATTATTATTATTTAAATCGATTAATATATATATAAGTATATACATACACATGCATTCTTTGTGCGTGTTTCTATGTCTGTATCTGTATCTTTGTCTGCAGTCATTATGCATTATTTAAGCCAAGTTTTGTTCGCAACTCGATTGTTATTGCTGTTGTTTTTGCTTTCGGTGCCATCTACAAACGGCGTCAAGATAAATGCTCTCCGAGCATTTTCATCAACGTCGTCATAAGGCGGCCTCAAAGCAACTGTATTCTTGCTATAAGCTCGCAGAGGGTATTATAAGTTGGTCATGAAGTGTGCAATGGACGGAAGAAGACTTTTTGTAAGCATAATGTTATATAATAAATAATAATAATAAAAAACAATAATATAAAATAGTAGTAATAAAATATAAGTAAAAAATAATAATTAAAATAATAATGCAAAAATAATAATAAATAATAATGATAAAAAAAAATAATAAAAATATTCATAAAAAATAATAATTAAAAATAATAATATAAAATAAAAATTAAAAGTCAATTAATGCCATTGTGAACAGTTATCATAATATAGCTGTCATACTAACAATCGGTCTTAAAGTTATTTAGGGGTATTTATTTTATTTATCTTCCAGGAATTCAGGCAATAAACTTCCCGCCATCGCTTGAATTACTTAATCAAAACGTCGTCAGCTAAATATACTTAATAATTTGACTATGCTTTTCATAAAGCCTGAGGACCCAACCAGGCTTGGAGAAATAACACCTAAGCCAACTGTGTTGTAATAAAAATGTATGCTATTTTTGATTAAATACAATTAACATTATTAAAAAAAATGCTTCTCAAGTCTTTCCATCTTATAATATAGCTCCAAAGGAAGAGTCTTTCGGAATTGAATGTTGGTGCGAATTTTGTATGGTTATCATATATGTTTCTTAAAATATGCTCAACAAACTCAACATTTAGAAGCTTCCGAATTCTCCACACTTACCCTCCCAACAGTGAAGCATTTATCTACAAGGGTATTTATATTTCGGTGTGCCGAAGTTAGCCATTTATTTATGCTTGTTGCCAAATAACAATACAACACTTCCGAGCTGGGCAAATAGTATTTAAGTTCCGCTGGCCGCTGGTCGCGTTGTAAGCGCACTGCGCTGTATGTCATAAATCATTTAGACTTCATTTATAATAATGACCGTCTCAAGAAGTTGGAGTGGTCAGCATTTAATGGCTTCCCCCTCCACTGCCTCCCTCCCTCCACACACACAATGAAGTTGTCGCTTCAAAGCTTGCGGAAGCATTCGGATTAAACAAGTACTTAAGACACACATCAAAACTATGCCACCTATCAAACTGTCAGCTCAGCTCAGCTCGGCCCACGTGAATCTTGAGGGCAAACGTAAGCGGATACGCCGTAAACTGAGACACATTTGCCAGCATTTAAGCCGAGTTGACTAATTTAATTGGGAGCCACAAAAGAGTTTACGAGCAAATCGAAGATCAGTTAAGATTGTATTCAAAGCAGCTCTGCTTTGGCATCTAGTTCTAGTGCTGTCGTTTCAACTATCACTTATCAAATACCCTATACTTATTGAAAACGGGTGTTATGCTTTTGTGATAGTTTATGCACGGCTTGCAGAGTCTAAAACCGGTTATTGAACTTATCTCGTAGGTGTTAAAAGAAAGAGAAAATGTTATTAGTTATGTACATCTCCATTCAGAAAACCTTAACCGAAGATATCTCGTAGATTATATGAGCTTAGGGCTATGATCGATGTATCCTACCACATTACCGCAAACGATTAAAATGAAAACCTATCTAAATTATCGATAATTCTCTCCGATTTGGTATCAAATCGATAATAATTAACATCGACCACCTGTTTTTTTAGAAAATATCTCATAGATTATAAGAGCTCAAACACCAAATACTAAATAGAGTGGATAAAGGGTATATCTAAGTCAGGCACACTCTTCTTGCGCGGCCTTATTTGTTTGTATACTTTGATTTCAAGACATCTTCGTTTGGCTTAGCTAATTAATGCGGGTTGTTGAACCGCCAGCGGCTTGATCGATTACCGAAATGTTTGAAAATCAATTGCTTTGGCATGCGCTTGTTTCGCACTGCTCGCATTTAGCCACAATTTTTTGCGTAATTTATGTGAATATAACTTAATTAATTGTGCACTTCCCACAAATTTATAGGCGCAAGTGTACAAAATTCTAGCAACATGTGGAAATTTGTCGTTGACTTCTCGAGCTGCAACCGGTTTGTATTTTGTTTGAATATTTTATATTTATTTGCTCGTTTTTGTTGTTGTTGCAGTCAAATAAAGAAACCAAACAGCATAGGATTGAGAGCAAGAGCCACATCTTTGTGTGTTTCAACATTGTTTTTATTCTAAGCGCTGTCCAAGGCAAGCTTAGGCCCTTGGCTGGTGAAAGGCTAACAAAAAATTGCCCTGAACGTGGCTTTAACACAAGTGCGTATTATACTTTTGTCACGAACTGTGGATGGAGACAACGCGGATAAATGAAGTTTATATATATATTCTAGATCTGTAGCAACAGTCGAGTCCGTTCGACAATGCACTCAATTTGAAGGCATTTTGACGAAACTCAGAAACTCTTGTTGTCTGCAGACTGGAATAACTAACATATATTGCTTAACTGCTAAAGAAATTTTCGATAAAATATCTAATTTCTTTCCTTATATATCTTAATCAAAGTTTCAGGCAGTTGCTAGAGTCGACAGAGTTCTAGAGTTCGCCTAGAGATCGTATCCCTGCGAAGGCTCAGGACAAAATAAATATAATGGAAAAGCTTTACCATAATCCTAACATATCTGCAAAATTTTAACATCAGCAGAACACTTTATCTTATAGCTCCTATATATTTGATCTTGTTTTTAATTTTTATTGTGTTAGGACTTTGGTACAAAGTAATATCTAGCTAAATGGATGGAGAACTTAGCTCTTGAAGTGTCTGCTGGGCACTCGGTAGGCATATCCATGGCTCTTGGATGAGGCATAGGCAGCGCTCTCGTCGCTGGCCGCCGACGCCACCGGCTCCTCCTCCAGCTGGCCCAGTTCTGCATCAGAGGGGGCGACGGGTATGGCATCCTGTGGAAACTCCTGGCCCGTGGGAAACTCATTGTTCAGCTCCAGCTCCAGCTCGCTGACCCTGGGCACATCGTAGACAAATCCATTGCCCGACTGAACCAGCTGCGAAACATCCGCCTTGGCCCAATGCAGACAAAGCGCCGCCAGCAGAAACCAAATAAACAGACGCTAAAAGTCTACAATTTGAATAAATATAATAATGGATGCGGACAAGCAGCGCTTACCATTCTGAGGGGGGGCAAAAAAAAACCTTATAGAATAAATGTACTTAAATGTTTTATGTTTTATAGCTGCCAGCAACGTGGCTCGCGCGAATGCAGGCAAAGCCGCCGAGACGCCAACTATTTATACTTCTATATGTCGATCGTGTTTGTTTTTGGCTCAGTTTATAAATTGCTAATGCTAATGCTAATGCTGCTGCTGCTGCTGCTGCTGCTGTTATTGTTGATGTTGTTGTTGATGCTGCGACAGCAATTCGATAGTTGGAGCGGCCCTAGATAAACATGAGCTGGCTGTGGCTCTGGGTTTGGGGCCATTGCTGCGTTCACTCCAATCGAAAATCGAAATGCTACAACAGCGCCTCATTGTCAAGGCCGCGACTCGTTTGGCTTTTGTGGGGTCAAGTGTCAGTCAGTTTATTCACTGTGGCTTTGTCTTGACTTCACATTGAATTAATGATTCTATGCGCTGCCAGCATCCATCACGTGTGCCAGCCGCCAAATCGACTCGAAAAACAGCCCGAATCCAACTTCGATTTCAACTCAATATTTATGCTTGCCATAAAGCACCTGCTGACAACACTCTTCAACACATTTCCGTTTCAATTAATGCGCCGAGCAATTAGTCTCTGTCAATCTGGACAATTTTATTGTCGCTCTCGTGTCTCTCGATAACAAATCCAGTTGCACCTTTGACCCTCCTCCAGCGGCAGATCGAACACTCACTCTCACTCTCTGCAGCACTTGAAAACCAGATTTTGGAAGAAACTTTAACAAAATTTAAAATTTGTTTAGATTCTCTTCGGTCCACAATTGCTCGCAGGCCAGTTTTTATGAGCTCTCTGCTCATAGCCGCAGTTCTTAGCTCTTTGTTTTGGTCAATTTACATATTTATTTAGTTGAACGCCTTTTTCTTTGGCGTATAACAAGATAGGCACTTATACCGATCGCTGCATACTTTTAGACGAATAGTATTTATTTATATGATATAGCATAAATGTGGGCTAAAGAAATTAAAAATTCCTTTAAATAAATTAAGCCTAAATTTGGTTATTTTGGGCACAGTTACAAATACAAATATTTTCGTTCACATCAAATAAACAAAGCAATTTAAATAAAATTCAAATATTTAAATCTTAGAAAATGATTTTAAATCTTCTCATGAGAAAAAAAGTGAAAATGGGATTCATCGAAATATTTGGAAATACAATAGGATAGGCCTCTAAGTAAAGTTGAGAAGTGGAAATTTAAAATGAAAGCTATAGGAAAGGTAACTTTGACAACTTAATGTAGATAGATAAAGCAACTGATTCAAATCAAATTTAAAAATGGGAGTATGAAGCTAAGTTTTTAAATAATAAAAAAATTTAACTTCATAACAAAGCTAAGAAATAGAATATTAATACGAAATCTGAAGAAAGGAAAAGAAGAGCTTAATAAGAACTTTATCCTGATGAAAGGTAGAAAAACTATCCTAACTAAATTCTAAAATGAAAAATTTAAAAAAGGTTTTGAAATAACACTAAAGATACTGTCTTTAAATAAAATTAAGAAATTGAAGGTTGATTTATGTGCAATTTAAAGGAAAATTAAGCTTAGAAAAGGCTAGTGAAAGTCTAAAGTGTTTCCAAACAGGAAAAAATATAGCTAACATTTAAATAATGCTATCAATGCTATAATGCTTCAGTCGAAGCATAAACTGGAGAATTAAAATTATTGATAAATAAAATTGATGTCCATTTAAGATCAAACTGATTTTAGTTGCAGTTAAATAAGTTATTAATTTTTTTCATTGTCGTATTTATTTATTTCATGTGACTTCTCATCAGGAATTCGAAAAAGGGGTCTAATACTAGAGGAGGATAGTTTCTAATTACAACAAACGTTCCCTAAAAGTCGAAAGATGGCTGGGGGTCGTTGGGGTAGCTGTAGCCCTTAGGTCCTTGAGCAACAGGCTCTGGCTGGCGGTAGACAGGAGCTGGAGCTGGCTGGTAGACGGGAGCCGGCGCTGGCTTGTAGACAGGAGCTGGAGCTGGCTGGTAGACAGGAGCTGGAGCTGGCTTGTAGACAGGCGCAACTGGAGCTGGAGCTGGCTTGTAGACAGGAGCTGGAGCTGGAGCTGGCTGGTAGACAGGCTTCTGGACAACAGGGGGCAGGTACTCGTTGACGGGCTTAGCTGGGATCACAACCTTGGGAGCGACTGGGATCACGGGCTTGGGAGCAGGAGCGGGAACTGGCTTGTAAACAGGCACAACTGGAGCTGGAGCTGGAGCTGGCTTGTAGACAGGAGCTGGAGCTGGAGCTGGCTTGTAGACAGGCTTCTGGACAACAGGGGGCAGGTACTCGTTAACGGGCTTAGCTGGGATCACAACCTTGGGAGCGACTGGGATCACGGGCTTGGGAGCAGGAGCGGGAACTGGCTTGTAAACAGGCGCAACTGGAGCTGGAGCTGGAGCTGGCTTGTAGACAGGAGCTGGAGCTGGCTTGTATACTGGAGCCACAGGCTTCTGGACAACTGGGGGCAGGTACTCGTTGACGGGCTTAGCTGGGATCACAACCTTGGGAGCGACCGGGATCACAGGCTTGGGAGCAGGAGCTGGAACTGGCTTGTAGACTGGAACTGGAGCTGGAGCTGGAGCTGGCTTGTAGACAGGCTTCTGGACGACTGGGGGCAGGTATTCCTGAGTCGGTTCGAATTTGACAGCAGGCTGGCCATAATGATATCCATCTTCCTTCAGGATGCCAGCAGGAGCAGGCTGCTCGTAGACAACGGGAGCGGGCTTCTGGTAGACAACAGGAGCGGGCTTCTCGTAGACAACGGGAGCGGGCTTCTCATAGACTACTGGAGCGGGCTTCTCGTAGACAACGGGAGCGGGCTTCTGGTAGACAACTGGAGCTGGCTTCTCGTAGACAACGGGAGCGGGCTTCTGGTAGACAACTGGAGCTGGCTTCTCGTAGACAACGGGAGCGGGCTTCTGGTAGACGACTGGAGCGGGCTGCTCATAGGTCTGTGGCACATCGATGACGAACTGCTTGGATGGCTGCTGGTAGTGGTATCCATCCTCTTGCAGGTTGTCGCTGTTCGAGAACAGATGGGAAACGTCAGCGCTGACGGCTGCCACCAGGGCGAAGGCGATCAGGAGTTTCTGTAAGTCGGGTCAAGCGAATATAATTCGATCAGCACGATTCAATAATCTTTATAGGCACATTGGGTTCGATCTTTAAATGCCTCACAGGCAGCTTGTTTTGATCATATTATGTCTCAATTATCCTCAGTTATGGTCACTGTTTTTTTTTTTTTTGCTTTTTTCTGGTCTTACCATTTTGCTCAGCTACAAATTCACAACACAAAGGTTGAAATATTACTGTGTTGCCGATGAAGAGTACGACATTATTTATACGTCGGCAACGTCGTTTCAGGATAGCTTCGACCAATCCAAAATATGTTCGGCAAAAGCAGAATCTTCTCGACAATAGCAACAACAGCTGCCGCAAAATTAACCGAACCTGATTGGGCTGGTTAACCGGCTATGACAGAACGACACTCATAAAATTATTCTGCTCGCTCTTTGGCAGATCCCCAGCGTTATAGATTTAAGCACAATGAAGCGCTGAGTTATCAGCAGGCAGCCAAATTTTACTAAATAAATACAAACAGCTATCGAGTGTGTGGCGCACCGATATCTAAATACTCTTTCAGCCGGCTTCCTGAGCAAGCAGAAGATAGATGTTCAAATCTTCGCATAATATTAAATGCACTTATCGATACGTGTTAATCAAAAATGAAGTTGAAATCGTCTGTACATTTATCGATACTTTCCAATCGATAAATGAGCTGGAGTACTTAGGCGACATAATTTATCGATACTTGCTATAAATCGATAAATACGCTCGAATGCTAGCAGAATATATAATATTTATATATATTTAGCGATTGTTGTTAATCGATAGGTGAGTTCCAATCATACCATTATAATATACTCATTTATCGATACTTGAAGTCGATAAATGATTTAAGACGAACTTCGATACATCCCAATCGAATGATAATAATAATAATAATAATAATATTATTATATACAACATGTCAATCGATTTGTAATCCGCTTTGATTAAGCAGTAGGTAAGTATACCCAAAAGGGCAAGTGTGCTAAATTATACATAATTTAATGCGAAAACAATATGCTAAAACATGAAGTTTATAATAGAAGTCAACTCCATAAAAGTGTCATATATTCAAGCCTATTTTCCAGTTAGATTTATCGCCCCATCCACCAGCTATGCTCTTGTGAAAACGAACAGAGATGCTCTTTATTTTTGAAGCTGCCCTGACGTGCACATATAAAACCAAAATATTTGCCACTTTATGGCTATCAAGAGCGATATAAATGCGCCCAGACCCGAGATTTTATATGATGTTTTATTTATGAGAATCCGTCGACACAATTTGCATGAGAACGCGTCAGTTCCGCCAACCTCTCGTAATCGAACACGCAATTGGGCCCTCAATTACTCACAAGCAGGTCCACACCTGGACTGGTTGCCTTTTGGGCAACCTTCGCGAACAGTGGGTCATATAAGTATATAGAGTGTGAAACCAGTTTGAAAGGAAGCGCGTCCCAAAGCGACCTCTGCGAGCCACTTTCCTTGTCACATTTGACCCACAAGCTACGGGCTACGGCTGCAGCAGATCTTAATGAATATTTTTTTTTTGGCAATTGTTTACTTGGATCGCGTATATATTATAAATGGGCGCTCGCTATTCGATTAGCACGCAATTAACTCAACTTAAAATTGGCCTCGCCAAAAACTTCGAATCGTCTTAAGCTTAATGCTGATCGCTGACGTCGACGGCGACGGCGACGGCGACTAATCAAGCCGCAGTCAATGCTAAGCGAGCATTGAACTAAGGCAACATATCATATAAATTATTCATATTTAATTTCTATCTTAGCCAAAGTTCTTTTTACATTGATTTCGGCTTTTTTCTTGGCTTGTAAAAGAGTTTTCGATGTGTGTAAAATATTAACAATTTTAAATGTATTCCATAATATACAGTTTTACGAAAGACTTAAAGAAAACACGTTTGCGATTTACGAAAAAATACAAGTAATTTTTTCGAAATACCTCGCAACATGCTTCAAGTGGGGCATGCTCAACAGAAAAATAAATATTTAAAAATTTGTATAATATTTTTATAATATATATTTTCTGCAGCATCTAGATTCGTGTTCATTCAACTGCTTTGACCTAATATACATCAGTAAATATATCACAGCTTTTTACAGGGTATCCAAGCTTTAAGAGCTTAAATTTGCCCATAATAGAGCGTGCCGGTTGTGAGCTTAAAATAGAACACGTTTTAGTTGGGATTTCCCCCGCATAGCTGACTTAAGTTAAGTTATGAGAACCGAAACACACACTCTTTGAATTTCATAATTTCTTATAACGAAATATTCCGACTGCTTGGAATTAATCATAATTTAAGCACATATTTGTCTTCTGCTTCATCTTATTCTTGCTTGTGTTCAGCAATTTGTCTGCAGAGCTCATGTTTAACGGTTAATCACTCTGGAAATCCGAGACAGACCGACCCTGAGGGGGTTTACTCATCATAGCTCAATCACTTTTGCTTTCCTGGCCGAAACTTTGATATCATCTTCTTGGCCAATACAATCGCGGCTGTTAACTGTATTAATTTGATCTGAATTTCCGGCATTTAAATGGAAGCTAATGCTGGATTCTAGTCTATATTCAAATTCAATTCGATTACTTCATCGAAAAGTTTGAAAATTTTGTCGCTTATTTAATTAGGCAGCGGCACATTAAATGCCAAACAAATGAAACGAGTTTGAAGCTGTTAACAATAAATTAATATAAGTTAAGAACATATAAGTGTATAATTATTTATGGGTGTGACAATTGTACAAATGAACAGAAGCACCAGCACATATAAACATCCCAATATCTAGTACTTATATTTGTATCTATATGTAAGGCCTATATCCAAACATGGTAATGCAAATGCCTGCGACTTGTGTCAGCGCCTGAAATAGAGCTGGATTACCAAAACGTTGTCATAACGAAACGAAACCAAGTTAAAACCACGCTCTAAAGAAATACAAAAATGAGTGGAAGCACATTTAATACAAAGCATCTATTCAATGCAACCGGTTCTATTAGTTTTGTGAATTTTCAAGTATTAAATGTGCATAAATTTATATTCTAAGGCATGATTAGAAAAGATTCTTGTTCTGTTTGTCCAATCAAAGCTTGTCCAAGAATGTTGTCGATAACAAAAACGGGCTTCGACTCAAAATAAGCAGCCAATTTACAAACTATACAGGAATACACTAAAGATATATTTGCAAATTCTGATAAAACCCAATAAAATATCTGACCAGACACTAATAATTTAATCGTAATAAAAATCTAGCCAGGCTAGACAAAACAAATGTTCTGCGGCCTTAGAGCACATTACGTATACGCCTCGCTTATAAATTTATCAAGTTGTGGTTGATGTACTCAACATTTCTGCCAGATAGTTAACATGCGGGGTTTGTGGCTCGGATAAGGCTGTTAACTGTCAGACCAGACCCTAATCATTTAATCGTAATAAAAATCTAGCCAGACTAGTCAAGCAAATGTTCTTCCACATTACGTATACGCCTCGCCTATAGATTCTCAACTACAAATTAAACATGCACTTAACAGCTCTGGCAGGCAGCTAACATTCGCGGTTTGTGACTCTGCTAAGGCTTTTAACTGGACTGTTAGAGGCTCAACAGGTTTCGATTTATGTTCTCCCTGGCGATTAATTTTGTACAACAATGAGATGTATCCCAATTTTTAGAATAAAGAGAAGGAATATCAATACGACAATAAGAGAATGTATATAGTATATACATTATAAATTAACAGTTATATTTTATGGCTTCGATTGACTTGTCTGAGCTGCTTCTAGTTACCCTTTTGAAGAGTATTCAAGCATTGCCATAAGGTGTGAGACGCATAGAAGGTGGCATCTCGGGCATATTAAGTATTATAAGTATTAAGTATATATATTTTCTTGATCAATATAAATAGACATGTTCGTCTGTCAGTTTAGCAAACTCAGCAAAAACAAGCTTCACAATTATCCTCACATATCTTCAAACTCCTAAGCATACGTAAGGGTATTTAATCTTTGGTGTGCTAAAATGCCTGTTCCTTCTTGTTCACATTAATTTCGCGCTTCTTTGAAATGCGATTAAAACTAATTTTATTGCGCACATTTGTTGTGATTCTGTCATAATGTATACTAAGTACACACGATTTGGGCTTGGGCAGCTGTCTTATAAATATGAACAAATTCCAGAGTCTTGAAACGATTTAATTATTGCACTTTGAGCAAGCAACATGGTGAGTCCTGAGCTCTGCTCTTTTAGCAGCTATTTTATAATAAAGTCTTTTCCCCTTTGCAGCGTTCTATACTTGTCATAGCTGTACTGTTGTTGGGCGGCGCTGCTGCCACAATACCGAGCAGAACCTACTTGCCACCCCAATACGTCGCCCAGCCGCAGCTGACCGTGCAGCGTCCACAGAATGTCTACCTGCCACCTGCAGCTGCCTATCGCCAGGTGAGCCAATTGAGCCGTGTGGTATCGATACCAGAACGCACGTACTTGTCACCCTCCGTTCAGATCGGACAGCCGCAATATATATCGCGACCTCAGCTGGTTGTGCAGCGTCCGGTGGTGCAGCAGGTGGTGCGTCCCCTCAATGTCTATCTGCCACCGGCTGCTGTGCAACGCCCAGCCATATCCATCCTGTCCCAGCCACAGTATGCCTCGCCATCTCGCACATATCTGCCGCCCCAAGCAGCTGCATCCGGCCTGGAGGAGCAATACGATATTGATTTGCGTGGTCAATTCTAAAATATTCCGTCAGACTTCGACGTCAACTGGTTTGCGGTTTAACCCAGACCGCAAACTATATTCAAATGCTAATCGCCCGAAAAGAGTTCTTTAAATGCAGAATTATTTCAACTTAATTAGCATTTTACCAATAAAGAGAAAACACAAAACGAACCATCTATAGATATAAATTTAATCAGCCTTATCGCCAGATCGCGCTGCCCAAATATGATATCTTGTAAAGAAGACAATAACCTTTGTCTAAACATATGAATGCAATAGTGTTTGCTTTTTTTTACATTAGACTCTGACAAATGAATCAAGCGTACGAGCTGGTATGGACATTAATCTATTGCTCTAGCGAAATTTGCATAAACGTTTCGCTTCAATTTATTGGGCCATTTTATATATGAATGCTATGTCACTTGGTTAACGTTCCAGTTAATTATCGAAATTAATAACAATGAAACTTGCTATTAAAAAGTAAGAGTGCTCTAGTCGGGAGTGTCCGACTAGCCGATGCCCTAAGGACGCGAGAGGCACTTCCTCCTTTAGAAAACGGGTTCGAGAAACTCTGAGGGCGGAAATTGAACATCCGAATGTGTGTAAATACGTTAGCCCAAGGCTTAGGTAAGTCATTTAAAATTATATGTTAAAGATAGATATATATAGATATAGATAGATATGGATAGATATAGATATATATAGATAGATATATGGATAGATGTAGATAGATATATATAGATCATTATAATAAATATTTCAAAAATGGGCTTAAATGTAGACACAAAAAAGATATAAACTTGTTCTGCTTATGATATACAATAATAAAAATATAGAAAATATTCCAAGTCTCTTCATTTTGTAGATGTAAAAATGATGGACGGGTTGACACAGACGGACAGGCGGAAAATATTTGATCAATTGTCCTGATAAAGAAGACTCTACCTGATCTAAATGGTCCAATGTAGGAATTCCTCTGCATGTTACATAAATGTACACATATGAAATGAATGAGTTCAATGAGTTAAGAGAATGAAATGAGTTAAGTGCTGAGTAGTGCAATCTGGTTTGAGCCATAAATATTCATGAATGGCAATTCCAATTACGACTGACAGCAATGAATAAAGAATTTTTGAGAGATAATTTGGCAAATATTTGTGTGCCAAATTTAATGGACTAGAACATCATTTAGCCTCCGCTTTGATTGATGATGTGCATTACTTCCGTTCGCCGAATGCACGTATAAAAGAAGTTCTCGGCTGCTTATTGGTTATTATTCTCTAAATTGGCCCAACAGCAGACGGAACTTCAAATATGGTATGTATTTACAGGACTTACTCTGGATTTAAAGCTCACCACAGATGATCGATTATCCTTGCAGCAGCACTTTGTCCTGGCTCTGGCTTTGGTGGGTTGCGTAGCCGCCGAGTCGGGCTACAATTATGCAGCTCCCGGCTCCGCTGTGGCTGCCTCCGTTGCGGCTCCAGTGAAATCCTATGTGGCACCTCAGGCTCATCAGTTTGCGGCTGCTGCCTCTGCTCCTGCTCCAGCTGCAGCTCCAGCTCCAGCTGCAGCTCCGGTGTTCCATGCCGCTGCATCCGCTCCAGCTCCGACCAGAACTTATGTGCCGCCTGCTCCAGCTCCTGCAGCCCATCACGCAGCTGCCTCTGCTCCCGTGCAGTCCTTTGTCCCAGCTGAGTCAGCTTCTGCTCCCGTTCAGACGTATGTGCCACCTGCTCCACAGGCTGCCCGGCCAGCTGCTGTCCCAGTTCATGCTGCTGCACCAGGTACCGTAGCTCAGGTCCAGCATCATGCTGCTGCCTCTGCTCCCGTGCAATCCTTTGCTGCTCCAGCTCAGAGTTTCCAATCTGTCGATTCCTCGGATTCCAACTATGAAGCAGCTGCCTCTGCGTCTGCTCCTGCAGTCGCTCACTCCGGATACGAGTACAGAACTGTGCGTCGCCGCGTCTACAGGCATCGCGCCTAAATCGCACACTTGAAGGATTTACAAGAATATATGCAATAAAAAGCATACACCGATTATAAACTCGAATCAAATACTTATTAAATACTGGGTGGAAGGGCATATTGTGTACTAGAAGATATTACCTCTAAGCTATTATTGTTAATTGCCACTCATTTTCAATTTCTCTGTTGACTTTCGTTATGAATAATGACAAATTAAATAAACAAATTTAAATTGGAGTCCCACACAGGCTGAGCTATGTCTTATGATTCCCCACCTTTCTTTCGACCTAAAGGGAAACTTCTGTTATTATTATATATCTTACCGCCCAGCATTGTATATCCTTTCCATCCAAGAGAAAGCTTATGTTATGATCATGGTTTATTTACATCTTTCCTTTCCACCCAAGAGAAAGCTTCTGTGAACATATAAACTTCCCTCATATTTATGGATTGGGTTTACCATTTGTTTGCTTTCAAAAGGTGCACTAATTTCATTCGTAAAGTGTCGATGTTTGCTCCATAAATTGCGCCTGGCGCTGGCTTTGTCTTAGAAGCGTCGTTTGTATTTTAATTGCGAGTATTCAATGCGACAAATGGGTCATAAAAAGTGCCCGACGAATTTCTCACGCTCGATAACAGGTTCCACCATACAAAATCCCGCCCATTGGAAGTGCAATGCAATTCCACAAAATTCGACAAAGTTTTGGTATATAATTGAAGTGGAGATGCCCAGATCAGCACAGTTGTCATGGTAAGCGCAGCATGGAATACCCACTTTGGAGCCTCTAGACGAGCTTCTATTAATTCTCTCTCACAGGAGCTGTTCAGAAGCCTGTTGCTGTGCCTGCTGGCGATCGGTTGGTTGTCGGAGGTTGCGCCATCGACGCATCACAGACACCACCACCGGGAGTACGAAGATGATGAGGATCAGCATTATCTGCCGCCGGAGGAGCACGCACTGAAGCCCTTTTTCCGCAAGGACAAGCACACCAGCGAGCACGTTGTCTACCACAAGGGCGACGAGCATCACGAGCCCAAGCGCATCGATCATTACCATCACTACGACAAGCAGCCCGCGCTGAAGACCAAGCACATACACTACCAGCAGGTCGCACCACAGCTGCGCACCGCTCAACTCCTGACTGCGGCTCCCTCCCAGATTGTGACGCGACGTCGGCGTCCGAATCGCGTGCTCTATGCGAGTGCACCCAACTCTGTGTTCCACACACAGATCAATGTGCAGTCCCAGGACTCCGAGCTGAGCTCACAGATCCGAACAGATCCCCTTGTGCCAGGTGCCCAACTTCCTGCCAATGCGGGCGCCCAGCTACCTGCCAATGCGGGCGCCCAGCTGTCTGTCACGGCTTTGCCCAACTGCCAGTCTCCAGTTGCTGGAAATCCGCCCATTGGCTGCCGCGTGGTTGATCCAGCTGGCGCTCAGCTGGGCACCGATGCCTTGCCAGTTGGTGGTGGCCAGTTGCCAGCGAATGCTGGGCCTCCAGCTGGTGGCCAGTTGCCAGCCAATGCTGGGCCTCCAGCTGGTGGCCAGTTGCCAGCGAATGCTGGGCCTCCAGCTGGTGGCCAGTTGGCAGCCAATGCGGGGCTTCCGGCTGGTGGCCAGTTGGCAGCCAATGCGGGGCTTCCGGCTGGTGGCGGACAATTACCCGCCCTTGGCCTGGCAGCGGGCGGCAATGGGGCCAACAATCTCTTTATAGATCCCTCGCAGAGCGCTCAACTGGCAGCTGGCAATCAAAATGGCGGCGCCTTGCAAGGATTTGGCAATCAGAATCTATTCTCTCCGGCAGCTCAGCTGGCCATTGGCGGGCAGGATCCATTGGTAAGCGGACAGGCTGGTGGAGTTATTCGGCGACCCGGCTCTGTGCTGATCCAGATTGATCCGGCATTTGGCGGCCAGCTGCCCGCCTCGGCTCAGGCAGCAGGCAACGGCAATGCAAATCAAGTTGGTCCATTTTTGGGCGCACAACTTGGTGCTGGCCAGGCGCCAGCAGGTCAGCAAGGCGTGGCTCCAAATGGAGCTCCACTCAATCCTGTGCTGGGTGGACAGCTAGCTGCCGGAGGACAAGCGCCAGCTTTGGGCGGCCAGCTGCCTGCAGGCGGACAGGCGCCAGCTGCGGGCAATGCGAATCCTGTTTTGGGCGCTCAGCTGGCAGCAGGAGCACAGCCATTCGATCCAACACTTGGTGGCCAGCTGCCCGCCTCAGCCCAAGCAGCGGGCAATGGCAATCCAAATCAGACTGCGGCTGCTGCGGCACGCTTCAATGGTCGCCGGCGCAGTGGACGTCAGCGCAGTCGCTCCAATTACCAAGGCCTCAATGTGGTGCGGGGCCATGTGTTTGGCCAGCCAGCTTTGCAGGGACCCGCGAATGCAGTGGGCAATCAGCAAGACACGAACATCATCGACGGCAACTTCTATAGCTATCCGGCGTATCAAAGTCGGCTGGTCCGGGTGAATGGCAACCAGCGCAGCGTGTTCCTAGCCGATGGTGGGGATTATTACGATGATGACGAGGCCACAGACATTGGCATTGCAGCCAGCTCGCCCGAGCTGAGCTACGCAGCGCCCGAGCACAGAGGATCTCGCCGGAAGGGCAGCAAGAGCTTCGACCATGAGACGGCTGCCTCGGAGTATCGCGAAGATGGGTATTACTACCGGAAGCCCAGGCACACTAAATGAGCCCACGATTCCGTTTAAATTCTCAATTAAATATAATATGCATTTAAAAATATAGCACGGCAATTGCTGCAAAAGCACACATCAAATTGAAAAAATTATGCCTACTTTTTGGCGTATTATATAAATTGGAGTTCCGTTTCCGCTTTCGCAAAGCTCAGCTTAAAAGATCACTGCTAGCCAAGTCTCCATTCAATGTACATGTTTGAGCTTTTAAACAGAGCTTTACACTGGACTACATGACATTTGAGGAAAATACTGAAAAAAGTTGTTGCTGGGCACATATTTATGGTGTCTGATTAATAATTAATAAATAATATAGATTGATGAGAGTATTAATCAAGGCTTTAAGCGGGCTTAAACCGAACCGGTTCTGATCTGGAATACTTATATATTTTCTACCACGAAGCAAGCCTTAAAGCAAACAAATTATCAAAAAAAAGCAGCTGAGCTTAAGACCGAACCCAAGCTATGTTTTTTCAAAAATACATAGAATAAAAAATACAACTTATAAAAATATATAAATAAAAAATACATAGAATACAACTTTAGAGGGCTGACTCAGTCCCCATGCAAATAACTTAGATCCTAAGCATTCGAATTATCTAACCATATTGGATGGATGACAATTTTGAATGAAAATCAAATCTAGCCCTTAGATCTGTATGAAAATATATATGGCTTGCAATATTTTCAATAGAGCGGGCGAATTTAAATTAAGAAAACCAGTATTTGTTTTAATATACCTGCTTTTTTAAGCCTTTAAAAGATTTGTAAGGTCGCAGCTGCCTTTGGTATTACGATAGTTTCTTCAAAGCGCCGGGTTACTAAAAATATATAAAAATCGAATGAATTGTTTCAAGAATACTTTTAAAAACCAAGGATTTTGATAAAAGATTAAGAAAATCTAGAGCACCTACCTAGGAAATCTAACAGAAGTTGGTAAGATCGCACAGTAAAGCCCTTTACTTTATTCACTTGGCCAATTCATGAACTAATGCATCAAAAGCACAGCTTGTGGCTCGAATCGTGAACCACCAAGAAATCTTAAAGTTGTGCATCCATAGTTTTGCCAACTCTTTTGATTTACTCGGCTCTCTCGCTTCAATAAGCCATAAACGTCAGACTGTAGATATGTTTGTGTAGGAAACTAGTTCAGAGCCACGCACACATTTGCGGCTCAATGGAAATAGATACACAGGTCATGCAAGTTTTTGGACACAATAGAAAGGAAGATGAGCACACAAAACCAATTGCCAGCATAAATTAATGCGTTCATTTAGACACGATTCTCATGCAAATTCGACAAGACAAAAATAAAATAAATAAATAGAAATAAATATATATAAATATATATATATATATATATATATGAGCATATGACCAAATATAAATAAAATCTAGGCAATCGACTGTTTAAAGAAAAGACTACAGACGTGGGCCAATATAACGTAAGATCCACCAAGTCTATAAACGTATAGCTGGTAAACTAAGGCGGGCCCGCAAACAATGTATTCCAAGCAATATTTATTTTCTGTTTGCCATTAAAGTCAAATATTTGGCAGCGAGCTCCCAAATTATAGTCGGATGCGGCTGCCCATTGTCTGCGTCAGGTCTCCAACGATGCTGTGGGTCAGCAGTAATTTCAATAGAATAGAAGCAGTAGCAGCAGCAGTAGGAGTAGCAGTAGCAGTAGAAGTAGCAGTAGATATGGCTGCAAGCAATCCATATGCAGTGTGGTTCATTAGCTTGGGTCTAGATATTTATCTGAGCCCATCTCATGGGTAGCTGACCTCTGGCAAGGCGAATTTCTAATTACGAACAAGAAAGAGTTGCCATAAATCTCAGTGTATTTTTGGTAAATGCAGCTGAAATTAAGTAAAGTGTGGCTAACATCTTAAAGTTTAATTTAATTTAATTTATGGCTGGGTAAGCCTCCAGCTGGGTCTCTGCATAAATTTTGGCCTGTTGCCTGCTTACGTTATATACACATTTTTATTTTGGTCTGTGCGAATTTTGCCTTTTTTGCCCTTAAGTATATTTTATTTCTATTTTATTTATTTATTTTTTAAGCTATGCAAAGCGAGTGCGGCTCGAGATCAAGCGTCAGGCTGAGAGTTCAATGATCCGCAGCATGCTGCCATTTCTATGGCTCGGTAATTGAGCACGCCCCGCTTAATTGGCACATCGTTTAATATTCTTATTTTTTTTGTTCACTATTATTATTGTAAGCTTGTAAGTTGTCTGTGGGAACTGGCCAAAAGGGCTGCCCTGGGCTTACGTCATGCCGCTAACATAGCAAAAAGCCTCAACATACGACTGCCAAGTGATTAATTCGTTCTGCTCGGGCAATTGCAGACGCACAATTGGGTGCCTCGTTCACTTGAGACTCCAAGATGGCCCCCCTGCCACTTATTGATCACACGTCAAAACAAAAAAAAAGCAAATTTGAAAGGAACTTGCCAAATTTCTTGTGCCACGCGTATGAATTTTTAATGACCCAGCCGCGTGTTGGAAGTGTGCGCGATTATTATAATTCTATTTATGAATTTTTGTCTTTTTTTCTTGTCAGTTTTTTGCTCAGTTTTTTTTTTTTGCTCTGCAGATGAGATCCATGTCGCTGTCGGCACTTTCTAGTCGCTGCCACAATATTTGAAGCGAGAAAGAAAACTGGTTTCCCGAATGATTTATCATACATTTAAATTAAACACAACAAAAACGAGCATCTAAAACAAAAGCTTAATTTATCATAAAAGACTAAAACGTGTACTTCAAAACTGAATAAAATAAATAACTAAGAGTGCTCTAGTCGGCCATGCTCGACTAGCAGGTACCCTGAAACCAGGCTGCGAAGGTGCTTCTTATTCCCATTACCCAGCATTATTCATGGGAAATGCTTTCTAGACAAACACTTCGGTAATTACTATCCATAAGAAATTTTGAGGGATCACATATGGAACACAACGGAATATAAATAACTCTAGACTGAAGACCATATCTTGTCTTAAACTATTGTAAACCTTGAGATGGGTTACTTGACTTTAAATAAAATTGATAGAGACTAATAGGACATACATTTAAAGTTTCTCTCAGTTATAGATACTTTAATGCCTGTCTAGATAAACCCTTCTATATATACATATACAAAAGTCTACATAAATATTTATTAAAAGGCTAGAGAAGCTTCCTTCTCCTTCGCTACATACATTTGCCTGAGGCCCGTCTGGCCTCTAACCCATTTCAGGGCATATGGAAAAATGCAAGCCACACAAAGCCCAAACATTTATACTCTATTAAAATCGCAGCGCAGTTAGCGTTGAATGAAGATGTTAAGTTAACCGACCAAAAACAGGTTTTTAATTGTAGTGTTAATTAATATAAAGTACTGCCTATTTGAAAATGATTGCAGCAAGACATGCTTAATTAACAGTCAGCATGGCCAAAGTTGTTAGCCCCCATTTTGGTTAGGGTATACGATTAAAAAACTAAATTAAGGCGCGCGTGTGAGTGTAGCTTGAAGGAAGCGGCGAAAAAGAGACTGTTGCTGCCACTCGAAATGCTATAATATGCGAATAATATTAATTAAAATAGAATTTGCATAGATTTAAGCAAGCAGATTTCTGTTAGACAGAGCGACGACGCCGAAGAAAGACCAAAAAAAAAAAAAAAATACAAAATAAAAATAATGCCTGGCCTGGCAACAGTCGCTGAGCGCTTCACTTCTGCCAAAAGCTAGAATATATATATATACTATATAAGAAAAGTATAGTTAAAGCGTAGCCAAGGGTCGGCTTAGTCTTACCTGAATGCGAATTAGTTAGCTTCGTTCCCTGTTTGACGTACCCTGCCGTCTTTCAGATACTTTTTAATGGGATGCGTTGATTTAAGCTGGAGCTGGAGCTGGACAAGTTAATATGTGCACACACGTTTTTTCTTTTTTCTACTTTTTTTTTTGTGACTTTTTTGGCTGACCATTTTATGTTTAATGGGCATTATGATGGCTTTTGTGTTATTATTTTGTGTGTTCTCGATTCTGTGTGATGCGACGGGACGAGCCAAACTGCCATTCACTAATTTGCATATTTATGCCATTTCAGCATAAGCATTAATTCCGAAATGGCACTTTTAAGTGCTTGGACCGGCTCATCGGGCTGCTGCCGTATGAGAGACAACTTCGCGCCATAATAATTACCGACGTTGATCTATTGTCCAGCATCAGGCGGTCGCAACATTTACGGCCAACTGAACCAGTACTAGATTCGGCTAGAATAGAACCGAGCACAACACAATAAAATAGAATTGGAAAAAGTAGTTTGGAATAAAATTGAATAGACGCACATAAAGTAGACTAGTAAATGAGCTCCGATAGATTGTAAATTTTGGCTAGACATCAATTGAGAGCTGGCACTTTTTAAATGTTGCACGCATACAGGAAATCAAATTTGTATTTGTATTTTTCATTGTTTGGCTTTGTTTTATGCGAAAACAAGAACTTTAATTCTTGATATGTGTGTGTGTGTGTGGATGCATTGAAAATAAATGTAAATTTTGATGGCCATAACATTTGGTTTATAGCACAAGTCAATTAGCCGAACTTGTATTTTATCTCACTCAGAAATCAAAAAAATCAACGAATAGAGTCCACAAAATTGATCACGTGGCAATGCCACCCACTCAAGATCAAGAGCTCAAGTACTCTAGCCTTCACTAAGACATTTAATAAATAATTATGATCATTAAATACCTGGCGCAATTCTCAGAAACGAATAACATCGGAGCGGATGCTGTTTTGGTCTTCCCCATCCTTCAATCGCACGGAACCAATTAGTTCTTGGCGCCACTAACGAGCCTGATGCGAGATGGCACAGTTTAGCATTGAGTTTAGCTAAACATATAGCACTAAATGTTTGCAATTCCTTTTCATGTTCGATTTGCACAGATCATTAATCATGCCAATAGTTGAGCAGCTGCTGCAGAGGAAGTTAATCTGCTCAGATTGAGATATATTGATATACACACTGAGAAAATCGACGCCAATTAAAATGTATTTTGTTCTTGACGATTTTCGATTTCGATACTGGGCGTCCTTGGTGTCAATGTTGAATGTAAATCTAAAAAGAAGAAATGACTTGAACTAAGTAAATAATACCTTAAAAATTTAGGACATTTTTCAAATTAGTTACGCACAAAGAAAAACGGCCTTACCACAAAGCATTGCTCCTTAAATTTAAATTAAATTTTTCTCTGGAAGATTCCGTATAAGTTATCCTTGATTTCAATATTGAGCGTGAAGCTTCAAAAGGAAATGACTTGAATTAAGTACAAAATACAAAGAAAGAAAAGAAAATTGCTCAGATTGAATACACACAGAGATAAGTTCAGCAGAAAATATCCTTGACTTCAATGCTGAATGTAAAAATAGAAAATTAAATACACACAGAGAAAATGGAATAGAAAATTCAATAGAAAATTGCTTAATTATATTGAATATAAAATTTGAAAAAAATTACTTATAAGTACAAAATATAAATTAATTGAAATATAAAGTATTGTTAATCCTTGACTTCAGTATAGAATACATATTAGAGGGGGAAATTACTTCAATTAACCACAAAATACTCTAAGAAAGCGCAAATAAAAATATAATATAATAAGAATATTTCTAAGATTGAATTATCGAAAATGTTTTTCAAGAAATTGTGGAATTATGTATCTTCAAATAAGAATTTCTCCCGTTCGAATGACCTTTAGCAGACTGACCTTAGCCCAAAATTAGACATATTTCTCTCAGTGTACAAGTTTCTTCGTGGCATATGCATGGTTGTTTTTCTTAATTTATTATAGTTTTGTTTGTTTGTATGTATGTGTATGTTTTTTCAAGATTCTTAGTTAGATTGTAGATAAGAATTGTCAGCAAATTAAACCAACTTGCAAAAGATTTGAAAGCGAGCTCTCAATTCGAAAGGGGTTTTGCAAATGTGGCACAACTTCGCTTGGTCTTTTGAAAATGTTCGGTATTATTTGTATTTACAATTTTTAGCATATTGTCAAAGTGTGAATATGTCGGAAAATATATGCAAGCGTGTGGCTAATATCAACGTATTATATCCGGCATTTAATTTACGCACTAGATAAACCAAAATGAAATATGCCATCATTATGAACATCTTTTTGAATTGAATCGAATGCCAGTTCCTTTAAATGATTAATGAACGGCGACGACACGAACAACAGTAACAACAATAACCCAAGGCACAATAAACACAACATATGATCATAATAAGTACTCGAGCATATGTATATGTATTATATTGATCCAATGGGCGACTTTTATTGGAGCACATTTCGAATTTAAGTCGAGCGCGTTTTGACGGCTTGAATGAAAAGCCCAAAAAAAAAAATTAAAATCAAAAAAAAAATAAAACAAAAATCAAATCAAATCTTTTCTATTGTAGACGAGTGTGCGTGTGTGTGTTGTCCATCAAATGTTTTGCATAAGATTAAAGAAAACAATTAAGAGAATCTGTTCGAGCGAATTGGCTAAGCTTATTGTGCGAATGTAAGCGTTGGCGTCGACGTCGCTGCCGCTGCCGCTTTCGACGTCGCTGCCGCAGGTGGGCTTCACGCTCGACGCTGAGCGAGTTGGTCAAGTCGCCAGTCGAATCAGTTAATTGGAGCCATCGGAGAGGCTTAGAACTTGTGCAGGCCGTGCGAATTTACAGACGCGATCAAAGACGCAACGTCGACGCTGGCATCGACTGCGACTGCGACTGCGACTGCGACAGAGACTGCGACGCCGAATGCGGGAAAGAGCTGCTGGCCGCTCTGTAATAAGAGAGAAGAATTTGTATAAATACCAAAAGGTTCTGCGTATTTCTTCATTAGAGTTTCGGTTTAACTGGTGTGAACAAGCAACTCAAGCAGTCAACATGGTACGCTTAATCTTTCGAGCACAGCCTCCCAGTTGCATACTCCATCAAGATCATCATCAAGATCATCATGAAGATCATCATTAGGCATCAGAGGAATATGGTCCACATTTTTAACGAATCTTTCGCATCTTACAGAAACTTTTCCTGGTTGCTTTCGCGGTGATCGCAGCTGTGGCTGCTGATGTCAGCCATCTGCCCTCCAACGAGTACCTGCCTCCCGTGCAGCAGGATTTCCAGACCGTCGCTGCTCCCAGCAACGAGTACCTGGCTCCAGTTGCCAATGAGGCCAGCTACGCCCAGGTTGGCCAGGGCGACCTTGCCGCCGATGGATACCGCTACAAGACCCAGCGTCGCGTTGTGGTCCGCCGCAACCGTCGTGATGTGAACGAGCTGCCCTCCAACGACTACCTGCCCCCTGTGCAGGAGGAGGCCCAGGTCATCGCCGCCCCCAGCAACGAGTACTTGGCTCCAGTTGAGGCCCCAATCCAGCAGGGCAACCTTGCTGATGATGGATACCGCTACAAGACCCACCGTCGCGTCGTCTACCGTCGCAACCGTCGTGATGTGAGCCATCTGCCTTCCAACGAGTACTTGCCCCCTGTCCAGGTCTCTGCCCCAGCTCCATCCAACGAGTACCTGCCACCCGTCCAGGCTGCTGCCCCCGCTCCAGTCCAGTTCGCTGCCCCAGCTCCAGTCCAGATTGCTGCCCCCGCTCCTGCTCCAGTCCAGATTGCTGCTCCAGCTCCCGTTGCCATCTCCGCTCCAATTCAGGAGGCTGCTCCCGCTCATGAGTTGGCCGATGATGGATACCGCTACAAGACCCACCGTCGCGTCGTCTACCGTCGCCATCGTCGTGATGTCAGCCATCTGCCCACCAGCGAGTACTTGCCCCCTGTGCAGCAGGATGCCCAGATCGTCGCCGCTCCCACCAGCGAGTACCTGCCCCCAGTCTCCAACGTCGTTGATGAATACTCCGGTGTTCAGCAGGGTGCCCTTGCCGATGATGGTTACCGCTACAAGACCCACCGTCGCGTGGTCCTCCGTCGCCACCGTCGTGATGTGAACGAGCTGCCCTCCAACGAGTACCTGCCCCCAGTGCAGCAGGAAGCCCAAGTCATCGCCGCTCCCAGCAACGAGTACTTGGCTCCAATTGAGGCCCCAATCCAGCAGGGCAACCTTGCTGATGATGGTTACCGCTACAAGACCCACCGTCGCGTGGTCCTCCGTCGCCACCGTCGTGATGTGAATGAGCTGCCTTCCAATGAGTACCTGCCCCCCGTGCAGCAGGAAGCCCAGGTCATCGCCGCTCCCAGCAACGAGTACTTGGCTCCAGTTGCCAATGAGGCCAGCTACGCCCAGGTCGGCCAGGGCAACCTTGCCGATGATGGTTACCGCTACAAGACCCACCGTCGCGTGGTCCTCCGTCGCCACCGTCGTGATGTGAATGAGCTGCCCTCCAACGAGTACCTGCCCCCCGTGCAGCAGGAAGCCCAGGTCATCGCCGCTCCCAGCAACGAGTACTTGGCTCCAGTTGCCAATGAGGCCAGCTACGCCCAGGTTGGCCAGGGCAACCTTGCTGATGATGGATACCGCTACAAGACCCAGCGTCGTGTCGTCTTCCGTCGTCGTCATTAAACCCTCATCTGAAATGATTCACTAAGTGATCGACTTGTACTCATTTTGGAGTGCAAGTTTAATATACATAAGAATATTTCCTCTTTTCGTTCACGAAATAAAAATATTACGAAAACATAATGGCTTTAACCGATTGTTTTTGATATAGTTTTTTATACTTACCCATGTTCGTCACATTTCAACAAATGAAAAGCATCTATTCCTGATGTTTTCTTCTGCCAGTCATCAGGTCTTCTGCTTCGAATACACGAATTTCCTAAATGGAATTATCTTTCAATGTTTAATAAATATTGTTGACTAGAAGCGAACTTACCGTCGCTGTCTGGTTCATATAATTGAGACAGATGCAACTCTGCTCAAAATGCCAACACGAGACTTAGACACACTCACATATTAAATTTCTTCCTTCCTTCATTCCTTCTTCCGTCTTCTTAGGGTTCAACATTGGGGTCTGGAAAAGAATACATAAGACAAAACTGTACAAATTGTATTTAATATTGACTCCCATTTATATTCCAATTGAATACTAACAAGTTAAGTACACAAATAAAATATGCTGAATTTGAACCAGCAAACTCACTCTTGTTAGTTCGACGCTTAAAAACTAAACCTAAAGCTCTTAACTGTGTTGTATTTGATATTTTTCATACCTGACTAGTCCAGCCTAATTTCTTACATTCGACCCAGTATAGATTCAGGCGAGGAGGTCCTTGTTCCTGTGGAAGAATCAGTCAGTCAGTCAATCAATCGGAAAAAACTCATTGATGTATTTAACGGATTGACTGATAAAGAAATATGTGTGCTGTTTAATTTCGACTTACGTTTGGACTCCAAACAAGTTTGCACGGGAGTTAGTTTCAACCTTCCGCCTTCGGTTATGCAACATTTTTTTGAGGCACTGTCTGCCAAAGTGTCTGGCAAAGATTTGGCTGGACTTGCGCATGCTCGACTTGGGCATTATGTAAATTGAGCAATAATCGAATTGAAAGTTTATTACAAATTAATTAACCAATAACCAAAAAGGCGGTACGCGCTTAGATGAGAGAAATTGGTAGGAAGGCACAAAAAATAAGCCAGCTCGCAGCCAATGCTAATTGGAACGAATTATTTTGCGGCCAGTTTTGTTGGCAATTAAAGCGCAAGTGGATGCGGACATCAATATAAATATACCATATTCCATCGGGGATGGGGGGTAACCGACCAATTGATTCGCTGCAAATACAAAAATAAAGTATATATATATATGTATGTATTTTAAGTGTAGAGCGAAAAACTTGTATTAAACCTGATTGAAGAAGAAAAAAAACTATAATAGATTAATTTTGCGGCGCTGTCTTTTTTTTAGATAAATGCAAAATACATTAATTTAATGCAAAGCCAAATGCTAATTTTGGTAGCACAGCCGCAACGATTAGAAACATATAAATATGCGACACAAGCCTGACAACAGCATCATTTCTTCTTGGATTCTACAGAAGCGAGCTAGCAAAATGGTACACAACCACATCATTCGCAGGCTGGCGACTCGCACTCACAACTTACCTTTTGCTTTAACTCTTTCTTTTGCAGAAACTGTTGCTGATCTGTGCCCTCGTCGCCGCCGTTGCCGCGGATGTCAGCCATCTGCCCAGCAACCAGTACCTGCCACCTAACCGTGGTGCTGCGAGCGCGCCGGTTGCCTCCTATGCTGCCCCCAGCTACGAGACAGCTGCATCTGCTCCAGTCCAGAGCTTTGCCAGCCAATCGTACTCGGCTCCTGTCCAGTCCTACTCGGCTCCAGCTACCTACACTGCCGCCGCCTCGGCTCCAGTTCAGTCCTACGCAGCTCCTGCCCAGTCGTACTCGGCACCTGCCCAGTCCTACTCGGTCGCCGCCTCTGCTCCAGTTCAGTCCTACGCAGCTCCCGCCCAGTCCTACTCGGCTCCAGCTACCTACACCGCCGCCGCCTCGGCTCCAGTTCAGACTTACGCAGCTCCCGCTCCCGTCCAGAGCTACAGCGCACCCGCTGCCGTTGAGAGCTACACGCCCGCCGCCTCGGCTCCAGTCCAGACTTACAGCGCACCCGCTGCCGCTGCCGAGAGCTACGAAACCGCTGCCTCTGAGCCAGCACCAGCTCACAGCTTCTCCTCTGCTGATGGTTACCGCTACAAGACCCACCGTCGCGTTGTGCTGCGTCGCCACCGTCGTGATGTGAGCCACCTGCCTTCCAACGACTACTTGCCCCCTGTGCAGGCTGCTGCCTCTGCTCCATCCAGCGAGTACCTGCCCCCAGCAGCATCGGCTCCAGCTCCAGTCTACACTGCCGCCGCCTCGGCTCCAGTGCAGTCCTACTCGGCTCCAGTCCAGTCCTACTCGGCTCCCGTCCAGTCCTACTCGGCTCCTGCTCAATCCTACAGCGCACCCGCTGTCGAGAGCTACGAGACCGCTGCCTCCGAGCCAGCTCCAGCCCACAGCTTCTCCTCGTCTGATGGCTACCGTTACAAGACCCAACGTCGCGTCATCCGCCGCCGCAGATACTAAATGGAACGCTATCGAGGCTCCCAAAGCAATGGCAGCAAATCCAAATGTTAACTTTAAATGAAAAGTTGAATTTTATCATTTGTCTGGCAATTGTCAGGGAACGCAATTAATAAAGAAATGCCTTTAAAACGATTTAAAAACTTGATTTCAATTATCTACCTCGAATTACTTACAGGGAAATGTATTCTCCAATCCAAAATTCATAGGAATATTCACAGGAGTTAATGATCCGTCGGGAAATCGGCCGAATCGAAAAACAGTATCATATCATATCAAAAATTAGGTACTTCTATGGATTATTAAATATATATCAGTTAACAAAGGATCAATGGCGATCGATCGATAAAATATTAAGTTATTTTTCTGACTTTACTTTCGAGCATTTTGTTTTACCTGCCCCCAGCAGCATCGGCTCCAGCTCTTGTCTACACTGCCGCCGCCTCGGCTCCAGTCCAGTCCTACTCGGCTCCAGTCCAGTCCTACTCGGCTCCCGCCCAGTCCTACTCGGCTCCTGCTCAGTCCTACAGCGCACTCGCTGTCGAGAGCTACGAGACCGATGACCGATAACATTATCATCCAATTTGCATTTAACTTGGGTAAAATCAATTCACAATAAATCTACAGGTAAAACCTATTAAAAGTAGATCTGCGAAGCACAATAACACAAATAGCTAGCATACTCTTGGGTGCAGCTCTTGTAGCCTTCTAAAAGTATGCTCTATATCTACCTTAAATTAAATTATATATACATATTTATTGCCCAGATTGAATTAGCAACTATTTCTGAAAACTATATTAAATTTGTTAGACAAAAATATCATGGACCATCACATTTTCGAAATAATGCGAACGATCTGTAATGCTTCTTGGATTATGCTCACAAGCGACATATAAAAGTATGTTAAAGCTCAGAAAATTGGTTATGAAATAGGAATAAAAATCAAATAAAATATTTGAAATATAAAAAGCCCACATTTTTGCTTCAAATCGATTCCGGGCTTAATATATCTACCAAACGGAATCTTATGTGCGATTCTGGAAAAGTTCTTATATCTTTAAAAAATAATGTTAAAATTGACAAGCTTTGATTTTATACATTTTTTGAAAACCTCTTGAATGTTCCTCAGGGTTAATCATCATGCTCTACAAAAAGTAAACGGATTATTAACATTAAGGCATTATACCAGAAATAAATGTATCATATATAAACACTTATTCCTAAAATAATCATTTGATTAAACTTTTATTTGAAATTTGAAAAAAACGATTCCAAAGGTCGTCGCCTCTGAACTGGCAGCTTCATATGCATAGACATCGTTCGTTTTATTTCGGCACAATCGCACAGTTGTATGTAGATTTCATAAACATATTTAATGACTAAAATTCGATTGCAGAGCCCGCTGGCGCGGACTCAGGTACATCATTAATATTAAATATTAAATAATATTATTATAGTTAATTACAATTATTCAATATCGCAAGTTCCTATGGGCACGGAGAGGCAATCGCGTCAATTAATTAGTGCTGGGCAGGACGGGAAGCGGAAACCTAAAAATTGAAGGCGATCGCCGGTTTTGGATAGGAGTATCCCTCGCTCTTGGGTGCCGGAGCTGGCAGATACTGGGCCGGTGTGGGTGCCGGGAATGGAATTGCCGGCTTCGGATAGTCGTAACCCTGATGCTTGGGCTGAGGTGGGCTGGTCACCACCACGGGTGGTAAGTATTGTGGTGGGGGTGTGGTCTTGGGTATAACGGGTGGTGGAAATGGAATTGCGGGCTTTGGATAATCATATCCAGCACTTGGCTTGACGGGAGGTAAGTATTTCGGCTGTGGAGGGTTGGTGGGTTTCACAGGAGGTAAGTATTTGGGTTGAGGTGGGCTGGTGGGTTGCACGGGAGGTAAATATTTGGGTTGAGGTGGGCTGGTGGGTTTCACAGGAGGTAAGTATTTGGGTTGAGGTGGATTAGTGGGTATAGGAGCCGGAGGTGGGAATGGAATTGCCGGTTTTGGATAGTCATATCCCGATTTTGGCTTAACAGGAGGCAAGTATTGAGGTTGAGGTGGGCTTGTGGGCTTAACCGGAGCCAAGTATTGTGGTTTTGGGGGGCTCTTCGGAATAACTGGTGGTGGGAATGGAATTGATGGCTTTGGGTAATCATAGCCTGATTTTGGCTGCACAGGAGGCAGATATTTGGGCTGAGGTGGGCTGGTCGGCTTCACAGGAGGTAAGTATTTGGGTTGTGGTGGACTTGTCGGTCTTACCGGGGTCGGCGGTGGGAAAGGTATTGCCGGTTTCGGGTAATCATAGCCTGATTTTGGCTTGGCAGGTGGCAAATATTGAGGTTGAGGTGGACTTGTTGGCCTAACGGGAGGCAAGTACTGAGGCTGTGGTGTAGTCTTGACTATAACAGGTGGTGGGAAGGGTATCGCTGGCTTAGGGTAATCATAACCTTTGCTGGGCTGCACTGGGGGCAGATATTTGGGCTGCGGCGGGTTGGTCGGCTTCACGGGCGGCAAGTACTTGGGCTGAGGTGGGCTTGTGGGTTGAACGGGTGGTGGGAATGGAATTGCCGGCTTCGGGTATTCATATCCTCCACTTGGCTTGGCGGGAGGTAAGTATTTAGGCTGTGGTGGGCTGGTCGGCTTCACAGGCGGCAAGTACTGTGCTTGAGGAGGATTTGTTGGCTTAGCAGGTGGCAAATACTGTGGTTGAGGTGGACTCTTCGGTATCACTGGAGGTGGTGGTGGGAAGGGAATTGATGGCTTGGGATAATCGTAGCCTTTGCTGGGTTGCACTGGCGGCACATATTTCGGTTGCTCTGGAATAATCTGCTGCGGTGGCGGAGTATACTTCGGTTGCTCTGGAGGCGGGAACGGCACCGATGGGCGTGGATAGGAATAGCCACTCTGTATCTTCTGTGGTGGAGGGCTGGTGACTGGCGGGAAGGCAATTGTCGGCTTGGGATAATCATAGCCTCTGCTCGGCGGTTGGGGCTGCGGCGGGAAGGGCACCGATGGGCGTGGATAGGAATAACCATCCGTAAAGGGCACCTTCGGCTGCGGGTAATCATATCCCCCATGTACGTCATGGCTCAAGTCCTGAAAAATGTGAGCATCAGATGTGTGTCCAGTGAAAGTAAACATGAATATAACAATACCTGCAGCTGGCCATCCTGTTGGGTGGAGAATGGAGACAAACACTGGGCGCTCACGGCGCCTAGGATGATGCATAAAAAGCGAAGTTGCTGCAAATAATAAATAATACAAGAAATAATAAAATCTATTAGTCGAGCTCTTAAACATATTTACTGGACAGCTGATGGACAGCATCAATGGTGTTCGAATGGAGCGCGGATTAACACGTCAAGTTTCCGCACATAATTTGGCGAATATTTTTGTTAGATTTTTGAAATATTTAATTTTGACACAAGCAGCTGAGGTCAAAATTGGCACTGCTTAGAGCCCTAATTGGTTTGGGGCCGCGCGTCTACACAGGTCACTTCACAGAGGCTCGCAATGTGTTCCATTTGTAAATGACTTTTGATTAACAAGCCAAAAGCATTTAAACGCAATTCGCTTAAAGTTTTCAGCTTGGAATGCCGCGTGATGGCTCCCAATGACAGGCTGTTCATTAATTATGAGCCAAAGGCGCCCGCATGCCAAGCTGCCTCGCAGCCGGCTTATTGGGGCAGCAGAAACTGGTAGCAGCTGCCACAGCCGAAGCCTCGGACTGCGCCTCAATGTCAGTGCGTCTGCAATTAACATATGGCAGTCAGAGCCGACAAATGTTCTAATTACATAAGTGTTAACGATGTTACGTAATGTTTAATGCTCGGCTCAGTTCAAAGAACTTTTTACGGCCCGCGTCCCGAGCCATTCATCAGCTCGCATTTGATTATTAAAGTTGGCTTAATTAGTAAACTGTCAGATTTATTTAAATTGAATAGCGGCGAATGGCTTGCAACTAATTTGAGACAACTTTTTGTCAACCTTGAAGCGGAGAAAACAAATTGTAGCCATTAAAATCCATACCCTTGCCGTTGGGTACAGCAAATCTGTCAGTTGTTGGTAACAGAAATGGATTAAGTATATTTGTTTTTTTTTCTTTTTTATGACATAGTTTCAATCCAATCGAGCTGAGACAAACAAACAAGTCTGGCTTTAGATTTTGGCAAAGAACCCGGAATTTCTGAAGCACTTAATTTGTTGCGGGCATTGGAGACTACCTTGAGTGAGCTCTCGAAAGCCATAAACTCCTAACGACAAGCTATCAAGCGATTCGGTAACGCAGAAACAAAGCAAAGAACCCATCTAAATAAATATAAAAATAGTTTCAGACTCCCACGCAACATGCGGCTGACTTAAGCAACTCGTCGAGCTGAAACAGACATTTTTTGATTAATTGTAAGCAAAAAAGATATTAAAAAATTTGCCACTCCGCACACAGCAACTGAGGCCGAGTTGTCAGCTGTCGGTTCTTAAACTCAAGCTCGTCTCGACAAAAGTGCAATTGCACTGAATCCATAAAACACTAGAGAGAACAACTAATATAGGCGCATCGAAATCTTAATACACTTGCCGAAATGTGAGCAAAATTGTGAGGCACTTAATTGCAGAAATTTGAGAGCTTTCAATTGCCAAGGTGAAGTTCATTTTAAGTGAATTTCTTTCTTTAGAGCAAATGTTAAGGTTTTCCGATGGGACTTGGACTCATGTGTGTATCATAAACTCGTAAATGATCGATTTTTTAACTCTTGAGTAACAAAAATGTTTTTTATACAAGCATTGAATCCTATGGAAGCTGCGTGATGACGATAGTCCTAAACCTGAGGGAGCTATATCGACTCGTTCTTTGAATCTGATCCCCAATGGGGTTTAAGCAGAGGGTATCTTCTATGCGTTACACATTTCAAAACGCGATTGGAATGCTCTGTAAAAGGGTATAACAACTGTTGCTTCCTCAGCTACGACTGTCAGAGTTGTCTCGGTTCAGAGTTCTCTGTTCTGGGCGACATTTATTATAGTTTTATGGCTTAAATGATTTTTCTCAACCGCATTTAGCAACGAGCAAAAGCAACAACTTTGTGATATGTTGACCATTAAGTCACAGCCCAATTAAGTGAATATTTTTTGTGCTGAATTGTTTGTATATGGCTGTGACTCAGGTGTCATACAATAAATTCTCAACGTGCCGAGAGTAGAAGGCGTACCGCAAATGTGATTCGCTTTTTTTTTTTGCTTTTTTTTAATTTAATTTAACACATATGGAAATGTGATCAAAAAACGAAAACAATTCAGGTATTTTTTTTGGGCAACAGCATGCGGTTCTTAGATGAGCTGTTGTAGATTGTAAATATCCGCTCTAATTAAGAGTTACACATCAGATTTTTAGATACTATTTATAGCCATAAAACAGGTTTAACTGCCAAGATTGGAAGCCGAACCGGTTCAAAATTGTAACTCTTACAATTTTATTGATAGAACCAAATCCTGAAAAATGCTCAGAAAAGGAGTTAGTAAATTCTTAAGGTATATAAGGAATTTAATTGTTGTTGTAAAATAAAATCTGGGTTTGTGTATGTGCTAGATCAGCTTAACGAAAAGCTACTCAAAGCAGGTTGCTGGTTCTAACCCTGAACCGAATAGCCCACATAATTTTTTTTTTTGGTTTTTTTGCAGCCCTGTTAATTACAACATTTTTGACAAATTGCCAACTCATTTGAGCTGGCATAATTCTGTAATTCTCATAACTGTTGCAACAGCTGCACCCACAAGACTAGAGGGGGAAGAAGGAGGCAGACAGAGAATTTGATTGTTAAATCACGACGAGTCATTTTTACAACAATGCGTAATGGCAACAAAGCAAAAACAACTAGCTTTGGGGCGCGTTAATTGTCACAATTGAGGCGTGTGAAGTTCCCTTAACAAAAAAAAAAAGTCTGTGTGCGTGCGTGTGTTGGCAACCTTGAAGAAAATCTGGTTGTGGCTTTTTATAGCTGGCATTAATTACAATTTGCCACCCAATATACAGCAGCCAGCGCGATGACAACTTTTGTTCTGCGGCGAATGCAAAGCTTGCCGCATTGCGCATACGCAACGTGGTCGCTGGCCAAGCAAATTGTTGGGCAAATCGCTTGCAACATTTGTGGCATCGGCCAAGAACAGGTGCGTTTTAGCGTGAAGAGCGCTAAGTGGAGAGGGGTAGGGGACAAGGCGTCGAAACGGGCGTATTTATGAACGTTTCCGGTTCGTGGGTCTTCGCTTTGCTCAGCGGTGCGTCGAAACTGAGTTTTGGGTAACACTTTGTAAAGTTTAAGACTTATTATTAGACTTAAGGGTAACTCGTTTCCTTTGTCATCAGCCACATGCGACGCCTAATGGCTGTTGCGGCAGGTCGCGTTTTGTTTGCCACCTGTTTTTTGTTCAGTTTTTTTTTTTTTGCAGTTTTTCTCGGTTTTCTGTTATTTAATTTGTACTTGTACCGATTTTCCTCAATTGTAGCGCCGTTTATGCAAATTTTGCTAGCGCATGGCAATACGTAAACGAATCGTCGGCTTGCTCGTAAGTTGTTTGTTTTTGCTGTCGCTTTTAGAAACCGTTTTTTATACCCTAAAACCCATTGAAAATGCCCAAAAAGGGTATAAGGCCTTTGTGCAAATGTATGCAACAGGCAGAAGAAGAAATCGAAAAAAGTAGTCGATCTATACCTATTTTTCTCTGTATTCTCTGTTTCTTATAGACTATAAGAGCTAGAGATGTGATATTTGGAATAAAGCTTCTCCTTTTGATAAAGCTTATTTAAAAGTATCGGTAAATTGCATCGTGTCCATGAAATCGAAATAAATAGATAGCGACAACGATAGAGTCAGATGTGGAATAAACCGTTTTACATACCCTAAACCCATTGAAAATGTCCAAATATTTTGAACGTCGCCTTTCCTATTGATTAAGTTTGTCTAAAAGTATCGATAACTTACGTCGTTTCATTGAGCTCGATAAAATCGATGACGATTACGATAGAGTCAGATGCATAATATTAAAAACTTAATCAAGTTCGGCTAGTCGGGTGCTCCCCGAGTAAATACTCTAGCTTGATGTTTTTTTGTCTTTTCTTCTTCGTCGGTTGAGCAATTTTGTTTGACAGACAAATGCGATGCCGAAGTCGCAGTCGATGCCAGCTGCCAGCCACTGCAACTGGAACTGCACCCCAAAAAAGTGTGAACCTTTCTTGCATTCTAGCCTTAAGGTGCCTCTCAGCTGATATTGTTATTGCTTGATTGTTCAGATGCGGCACACACACACTATTTTACACTCAAACTCACCATCCTCATGCTTGAGCGGGGCTGCAACAGCGCGGGGCAAACGAAATATAGAGCTTAGAGCAACACTTGCGTCAGCAGCTAAAAATACATATATATTTATATATAGTTTATATATGGATTAGCATATGTTCTATATAGCACAGTGTCTCTTTTTCTGTTTATGGCAATAGCTGTCCACTCACACACAAGCAAACACGCGGCTAAAAACGCGTTGGGAAAAAACGCGCGCGTTTCGCTAGTAAGAACGACGCACGAGAATGTAACGCCGCCTGGCAGCAGACGATGCGAACTCGATCAGATTTGAAGTTCAAATAACAAAAACTGCGCCAACGCACGGCTTATTTATAAGAGCGTCAGCCCGAAGTTGGCCGAGACTTCGGCTCCGACCGCGACTCCAACGCGTCGGCTACGCATGCGCCACTTCGCCAGGTGATGCAGGTGGTGGCAGGTTGACTTGGGCCTGGCCGAGAACTAATTTCAAGTGCAGCAGCAGCAGCTCGGCTTCCTGCATGTTTATTGATTTGCCACGCAGCTCGTGTGTGCAACAGAGCTGCCAAAACCACACGAGATTCACGTTTTTGGGCTACTGTTTCAAATTTGATCTGACCTTGACTGTGTCTTCGACTCCCTGACTTGCTGAAATCGCAATGTCCAAAGCAAAGCTTAAATTTTGTATACCCTGTACGCAAATGGCTTAGACGGGTATGTCGCAGATATGCAGCCAGCAACAGCTCTGGGTGGAACGGGACCAGGGAAGAGAAATATTTTGATTATTATCAAAGATAACCTTAGAGCTTAAATTGTTTTGTCAAACTCTTAAACTTACCGAGTTATGAATAAATAAAAAAAAAAGTTGATATCGATTTTGATCAATTTGAAGAAGTTTAAACTTTGTATACCCTGTGTAAATGGGTAAGCAGGGTATAAGGCACGCATGCAGCCAGCAACAAAACTGAAACGGGAGAAGGAGAAAAATATTTTGATTATTCTCAAAGATATGCTAAACACAAAGATGTTTACTCTAACTCTTAAGCTTACCGAGATATGAAGAAAAAACGGCCGTTGATATCGATTTTGATCGATTTCGTGGCAATAAAGTGAGTTATCGATGGAGTTCCCTAGCTCTCATGAGCTCGCAGATCTGAAAAAGATTGGCATGACTTAATTAATGATATATATGATTATATATGCCTGCCACAATACAACCTAAGCCTGGTTACAGGGTATCTACCAGTCGAGCACGTTCGATAACTCCTTTTTTTGATCTTATGAAGTCTGTAATCTGAAAAAGATTGACATGGCTAAATTGATAAGGCAGATCGAAAATATGATATATATACCTTAAAAGATCGCAGATGAATCCTTGTGCCTGCTACACAAATCCCGAGCCTGCTTACAGGGTATCTACCAGTCGAGCACGTTCGATAACTCCTTTTTTTATCTTATGAAGTCTGTAATCTGAAAAAGATTGACATGGCTAAATTGATAAGGCTGCTCAATAATATGATATACATATATACCTTAAAAGATCGCAGATGAATCCTTGTGCCTGCTACACAAATCCCGAGCCTGCTTACAGGGTATCTACCAGTCGAGCATATCGACCACAGCACTCCTGATTTGATTGGCTTTTGTTATCTTTTTGGCAAGCATTTTGAGAGCTGCCAATCGACCTTAGCTGAGATTTCCACTCCAAATTCACTTAGTTTCACTTTCAGATACTCTGGGTTATATTTGGGGCTTGTCGCTTGGCAATCAAAAGGTAATGCAAAGCCACAATTGATCCAAGATCCATCAATCATCGGCTCAACTGAAACTAAAATCATGAAATTAAAACTGCACCCAGAAGCGAGTGCAGCCAGTTTGGTTTTGGGGGTAGTTCATACTATTCTAACAACCTTGCTCGCAACACTTTTAATTGTTAATTAATGTTGTTTCATTCATTAATCGCTCCGCTGACAAATTATCGAACGTTTAATGGATTGCGTGGCAGTTGCTTTTAATTGAAAACCCTAAAAAGCAAAACAAAACAAATAATCTATGTAAGCTACGAAAAAGAGGAAGAAGAAATATGCTGGTTGCGCACAGCTCGTTAAAAAGCTAGAAATTGAATTATTATTAATAATAATTTGGCCGAAAAACCGGAAGATACGCATATCGAAATCCCAAACGATTTGTACGATCCGCTGCGAGCACGGTTCAAGTATTTCAACTTTCAAATTGCGATATTTGTGGCAATCAAAGCAAATAAATGCCATTAACAAACCAAACTGTTAATTAAAAAATTAAACCAGGAGACAGACGAGTCGAGATGCTCTATTCTAAATACAGAGCCAAGTCTATTATATAAAGCCAAACTAAAGCCGCTTAGTCTACGCAGTTGCAGCTTGTCTGAAAACGGTTTTAAATATTTATGAAAATAGAAAATACTTAAAATACAAGCATTTAATTGCGACATTTAGTTGCCAGTATCGGCTCGACTAAGTGGACAGGTTCTCTTTGCGAGCTCCATGCTGATTTGTATGCGATCCCAGTGACAGTCGCTGTCAGGATGTGCTTGGCCAGAACTAGTTAAGATGCTTCGCACCTGACACATAAATAATAAGTTCACTTGGCGGTTTTATGGATTTCGACACCTGACCAGCGACTACAACAATTTCGCCAGTGGCATACAAAAAAAGGTAAGTTAATATTAAAATAAAATAAATAAATAAACGCTGCTCAATCAAACCGCGATGTAAAATTAGCGACAACAAATGAATCAGCAGCAAGCATTTTCACCCACTGCAAAGCCGCAAAGCAGTTCAATAAACCTCAACGATACTTTTTAAATATTGATGAAAAATGATACAATATAACGACAAAATAAATAAATTAGCTGGCAGAGTAAACTGACAGCGCAAGGCCGACGCAAATATGCTCTTCCCACAACTCTAACTAACACCAATTGACAATAAATGTCGAATTAATTTATAGTTGATGGTTGATTATTAATATTTTCTGTCTGCGCTGTGTGCCTTTGGGAGTTCCCTTATTCGAAACATAAATGATTTTTGATATATAAATCAATTCAAGACAATTTCTAGCTAAAGAAAAGGAATGCTGGTTTGAATCCAATAGATGGACAGCTTGTTGCTGTAATAAAAATAATAATAATAATAATAATAATAATAATAATAATAATAATAATAATAATAATAATAATAAAAATAGAAAGCGTAATAATAATTGTAACAATAAAAATAGACTACAATAATGATATTAATATAACCAATAATAATAATACAATTTTCAAGAGCTTAAAAAAACACATGCAATACTTCTAATTGAATTTTTTGTATATTGTTTATAGGCAGCGGCTGCCATAAATTTGAGAAATTTGAGCATTTAATTTATAGCAAACATTCTTCAACGATTAGCTTTTGAGGCAGCCGAACTTTGGTTTTATTTGCAGTATAAATTTTCGGTCATAAAAGCAGCAGCAGCAGCAGCAGCAGCTCAGCGACTGGCAGCTTAAACCGGCAACAATAACAATCACAACAACAGCAACAACAACAAGTTCAAGTTAATTACATACATCCTACAACATGAACAGATCAGCAGCAGCAGCAGCAACAACAAAACGTCAACAATTTTTGCACTTTTGCCTCAAGGTCGCAGCATCAGAGTCATTGGGCTCAGCTTCGACTTCAGCTCCGGCTGCACAATGAATTGTCAGTTTTAAGTGCCGGGAGATGCACCATCTGATCCTGTTACAAAGAAGGAAGTGGAGCTGCAGGCGGAGATCGGGTTCTGTTTATCGATTCTGGTTCTCGTTTAGAAAGTTTACAGCATGCGTGACCTTAGCGTGGAGGATTTGATGTGCTGGCTTTTGTGACTGTGAATGATGTCGTTGTTTTCACAGCTAACTAGCAGAAATATGGCCTTAAATCAAATGAGACTTCCCGTCAGCAATTTGACGCAAAATAATGATTATTATATTATGATTTAGAATATGTGCCAAAATGGACAGCTGGACAGATGGACAGCTATTGTCTATTTTGTTTCCTTCTTAGCTCTCGCTAATCTAGCCGCAGCTCTGATTATATGGCTCACTGAACGGCACCGAACGCTTTAATCAAAGCCAAATAATACTTAGTTTAGCAAATCAAACGAATGCCGTAAAGTTTTATTTATGAGCATTTCGGTGCGTTCATAAATCACTTGACTCGGGAGGAGTGCACCCACAACCATGTTAGATACGGAGGATGGCCAAAAATAAATACCATGTCCGACCGAAAAAAAAAAATTCTTTAACGCAAATGTTGCAAATGTTGCGGAAGTTAAAGGCTAATTAAAACGCTTGACTTTTGGAATTGCTGGTAATAAAATTACGAGCTGGTAAAGTTTGCTTATACCCATTAATAATAGGCGAGAGAGCATGATAGTTATGTGCAAGTGTATGTAACAGATTGAGGAAAGCACCAAGAGCATAAAGAGCATAAAACTTTTCAGGAAGAAATCTTAAACCGGAAGACGAACTGAATAGTTATGTATAAATTCTCGAAGGAAACATAGACATCGGACTATAAATACCTAAGTTAATTATGAATACCCTTTCTAGTGTGAGATATATTTAAAAAGAAGCAAAGCCGCTTGTAACGTCAGCTCAGGGTATCTCCAAGTCGGGCACTCCCGTATAGAGCACATTTGCTTGTCTTGTTTTGGGGCGCGTTTCTGGTCGGATGCATTTAGAGCCACGCTGGCCACAATTGATTGCCCTTGCTCTTGCCAACTCGAGCATGGGACACAGGTAATTAAGGTGTGCGGGGCGTCTCAGTAAAGAGCAGAACAACAGCCCACACACACACGCACCGCGCCCTGTGGTGCGCCATTCACACATATGAAGATCGCATGAAGATCGCATGAAGATCAGCGTGCAAGGTCAAAGACGAAACTTAAATACCTTTTGGCATGACCGAGAGACCGACCGCAGGTCGCGGCCAGCTCGATTCTCACCTGCGGCAGCATACCACAAAAGTCGCCAAATTGCCGCAGCGAGCGGAACAGTCGAACACGTTTTTTGCGGCCAGTTCAATGGCCAGTTTTGAGGGTCGCATGTCGCAGTAGCAACAGGATGGGGTTCAAGTGCGTATGCAACTGTGTCCTTGGTGGCAAGCAGACGAACACGACGCAGACGTAGTCACTATTATTCTTGTCGTTGTTGTTGTTTTTGTTTTTGTTGTTTTTGTGGCTGCTGCCCTGCGCTATGTGCGCCACATATCAATGAGGCAGTCAAACGAAAGACTTAAGACACGAACTTGTCGCAGCAGGAACTTTTCGCAACAGCTTTAAGCCGACTCTAAACAGTTAATGCTTCATGCATATAGATTGATTATTTATCTATAATCGCATATAATTACCATAAGAAAAACCAGGAGGGCTGATTGCATTTTAACGCCAGCAAGATCTGATTGTTCAAGGCGTCCCGCTAATGACCCGATTAGCGTCTAATTGAATTATTACATAGCCCACGCAGCTACGCACAAAGAAATCAATCAAAACGTGGGCGATCGTGCACTTGAACTCGCGTCCGACAATTGTTTGGAATATATACAATATCTATAAGCGTTTAAAGAGCTCACATCTCGGAAAACCTGCTCATGACTTTACGCTTTTCGATTATTCTTGGACTTGGACAATTTGCTAGTCCGGTTTGTTGCATTGTTTCCTCTTTTTTTTTTGCTTTCGTAATGAGTGTGTAAAACCCATTTAATGTGATTATTGGGCAAGTCATGCTCTTCAAAATTTGGGCCATTCAGGCGACTTATTCATGAGCAATGATCCAAAAATAATCCGAATATTTCATCCGTTTGTTGACTGTAAGCGCAAGCAAGTGCACTGCGGAATGTTATTGTTGTTAATTAATGTTTTTTTTTTCGAGTTTGATTTGTATTTAAAAACCAGTTTATTGCTTCATTTAACCAATATTTATCGCTTTGGCGGCTTGCCTAAAAAAGAATTGCAAAAATTTGGCAAACATCAATTATGATAAATGCTCAGCTTGGCCACGCTTCAGCCAAATGAAAAGAAAGAAATATGAGAAAAATATACAAAACAAGTATATACAAAACGTGAGCGCCACTCAACAAATGATTATTTAATAGCCAATTTAACAGCATTGTCTGCAAATATGAATACAAAGCGTACACAACACAGACAAAACGTTTTGTGAATGAATACCGTGAAATGTTCTTGATATTGACATTTATGTGGCAAACAAATATCGAAAATAAAAGTCATATTCAGCTTAAGTATTTAAATGTGAACAAAGGTCAATAACGCATCGAATTCTTGGCTTGATTTAAGCGCGACAATTTTGAGTTTTGTGTGTTTTTATACCCATTGATAATTGTTTTAAAAGGGTAGCATGTTTTTGTGCAAATGATTTGGACATGGAGCAATAAATTCATTACTGAGAATCAAGGGAGAATAAATAAACAAATAAAAGGCAAAGGAGCTTACAAAGTAGATATACATATTATTGATCAGGACTACGAATGGAGTCCATATAGTCTGAGTCTAAGTCCGTTTGAGACTGGAAAGATTCGGCTCGTTGCCGTCTCCAGGGTATCTCCTAGTCGGACACTGCTAACTAACGCACTCTGGCTTGCTTTTTTTTTGGCAAGGTTCACAGCTGCCGCGCACCCATTCATCATTAATTTGGCATGTAAATTTTATGCAAAGCTGATCCGTACGATCGAATCAAATCGAATCGAATCGAATCAAACGGTTATAAGCCTGTCTGTCACCTTTGCCCGTTAATCTTGCCGTTCGGCTGCAGCACTTCCGCGCGACCTTTCGTCAAGAGACAAGCTGATAGACGGACAGACAGACAGCCGGACGGACAGACAGACTGACTGACAGTTGGCTCAGACGGACAAAGCTTGACGCTGTGTTTATTTATGGCCCAATAGCTAATTGTTTTTCGGCGCCAAATGTCAGCTGCAAAGGGCTTACACAATGTGCCCGAAGAAGCGACTCTCCGTTTTATGACGCTCATAAATTACGCATACGCCCCCCAAAACCAAGCAAAAGCACATCAGCTACTGGCTATCTACGAATTGCGTGACAAAGTTCTTACCAGATTTGCGAGCACTTCGAGAACCAGAGTTTAATTTGTTTCATTTGCATAGAAATGGGCAACGCCTGTGGCTCGTCACGTCGCCGGCGCTGATTAATTCGGCTCTTAATTTGTTTGAAGAGTCAGTTAATTAGCGCAAGTTGAAGTAGAAGTCGTGTTCGAAGTCGAGTTATGGGCTCTGCACATATTTGCCGAAACCACATTTGAATTTAAAATGTTTACATTTCATTTATTTATTTCGGCGTTTTCGGCAACGTTTCACTCGGTTTCTTTGACATCTAATATATATAATACTTCTGAATGTATGGGTGTTGCGACTACCTCTGCTTCTTCTTAAGATGATGTAGGTCGTTAAGTTGAAACGATTGTGGCTATAAATTAATATTGTTTGTTTTTTCATTTCTCTCGTTCTTTTTTTTGTGATTTTGTTGCTTAATTAAAGCAATTATCCTTGTGCAATTAAATTGAAGCTAAAGTGCAAACTACTAAGGAATTTGGTCACGAACGCAGCCTCGCTGAGTGCTGAGCATGAGCTATGAGGTGAGAGGTTGACTCCCATTTAGAAATAGTGTCCATAGTGTCCATGATGATGGTGATGCAGTCCATAGTAGCCGCCATAGTAGGGATAGCCTGTCAGTGAGATAAAGACCAAACAGTTTAGCAGGCATTAGATGGACCCCTTGGTCCCTTTGTCCCTTGGCCAATCCGCGGACTCACCAAACTCACCCAGGCCGTAGTAGCTGCCGCTATAGTGGGGCCAGTAGCCGCCGCCGCCATAGTAGCTGCCCAGATATGGTGAGGCATAGTAGCCATAGCCATAGGAGGCGGCGCCCTGCAGATCCTTTTCCTCAGCCTCGACGCCCGCCTCCAGGTCTCCGGCCGCGCTCTGCTCCTCCTGCGGACGTGGCGCTGCCTCCGAGCAGCTCAGCAGCAGGCAAAACAAGGCACAGGCCAGCAGCAGATAGACGGAGCGCAAGTTGAACATTTTGTTGAATAAGTTTTGGGTTTCCTCTTGCTTCTTGCCACTTGAAGTGTACAACTGACTGACGCTGGAGCCGTGCTGCATGTTTATATAATGCCAGCGATTCTTGCAACGTCGCCCATCAAAGCGCAGCGACAAAACAATTGTCTACGAAAATTTGCCTACAAAATCACAAAAAAAAAAACTGAAAAACAGAAAAAATCCCCCCAATTCGGCGACTCCATGACTGCGTGTGCCTCTAACAATGCCCCACCAGCGGGCAGCCACCCACACGCCAGCTTCTCAATGAAGCGTACTCAGTGCTTGGTACTCGCAACTCGTGCCTTGGGGCCTCGAGGGGCTACTATTTCTTGCATGACCGATTACTAATTACAATGCTGCTAACTCTGTCTACCTCTCACCCGCCCTCTCTCTCTCTCTCTGGTCAGTGGGGTCAATGTCGCAAGCAATATCAATTCTTAAAAGCCTACAATTTTTTTAACTCAATTTAATTGCAATTGTCAAAATAAATCTATATCTGCAGCAGTTCAAAAACCTTCTGACGTAGAGAAAGTTGTGATTACATAACAAGAACACGCTTGGCAGCATCCAAGAATTTTTAAAAGCATTATTTATGGCTGTCCAGTCCACCAACACATAGCGCTAAGCACGCGCTCTAAAATAAATTAAACTTTTGGCAAAGTTGCTAAACAACAATCTAAAACAATAAAAATAGAACTCTAGCTAAACATAAGACGTCAAAAAAATATAAATGTGGAAATGAGAACGCGTCCATTTGGAACTTCTCAAAATGTAACAGACGAAATATGCGAAAAAGGGGCCCATTAAAAAGCAAGATAGGCAAATCTGATATAAAACTATTTAGAAAATATGTGCTACTAACTTTTAAACGGAAGTCGAAAATTCTATATACATTAATATAAAGTCAATTGTTTCCTATCTCCGTAGTCAAAACATTTCTGTTTCCCATACGATGGGCCTCAAAATTCGATCTCAAAGAGTTTCATGTATTCATGTATTTTACAGGTATTCATGAATTTTACAGGTGCTTCACACTTTTCGCAAAATCGACCCTTGCTAGTGGAAAATGTGTAGAAGAGCTTAAGAATTTCACAACTATTTTCTAAGCCACAAAAAAAAGTGAATAACATTTCATCCATAAATGTGAAAAATAGGTGAAAATGTTATCTTAAAAATTTTAAGGAAAATAACTGAGTCGGGCAAAGCTGGGTAATGTCCGCTAGACATAAATAGAAACATGTTTTTATTATTTACACTATTCAAGTTCATTGGGCTCAGGTGCGTCTCTTTTCTGGTTAGAAGCTACTGGGTAACGAGGTCAAAATAGTTTATGATCTTTTTTCTTTATTCTCTTTGCACTTCTCTTTCTCTTTCATCCAACTGCTAATTGTTGACAGCTTTGCAGCCGTGTTCATGCTTTGAGTGTTGTTTCTCAGCAATTTGTATGTTGTGCGGGGTCAGGGTTCAAGACAATGGGCTCTGGCACGTTAAGAGAACTAGCTAAGGTTCCAGCTAGCCAGCTAATTGCCAGTTGGCTTATCTAAATTGCCGCATTAACCAAGAACCTGCGACGCAGACGTTGTAATTACCCAAATTAAATGCTTGGCTGGCCAGCAAGAGAATCCAAAGACTCATTAGGCCCCCCACCCCAAACATGCATGGAACAAGGGCTTTTTAAATTTATGTGAGTTATTGAAATCTTAAAAACATATTTAAATTAAAGCAATTGTGCTCTAGTCGGCAGTGCTCGACAAGAAGTTACCCTGTGCCCACTAACGGCACACAAACAATTACATGCATTAGGGCATGTATTAAGAGTACGTATTTGTAAAGTACTTTGCCGCTGAAAGTTATCAAAATAGAGATGAAGGTACATACATACATACATGCATACATGTATACATGCATATTTACATGCATACATGCAAACATGCATACATGCACACATGCATACATACTTGCATATGTACATGCATATATACATACCATGCATACATACATACATACATAGGATACGTACATCTACATACATACATCTACATACATACATCCACTTACCTGCCCCACCTCCTCCTGTTCCACCGCCGCCTCCTGCTCCACCGCCACAAATTGCACTTCCACTGGCCGTTGAAGGCAACGTTTCCTGCCTTGTTAAATTTCAGCAGGGTCCTTATGAATTTTCACGAAGTTTGGCTCTATGCTTGCGGCTTGGCCTCTTAATCAATTTGATATCTAAATCTGACATTAGTTTTGGTCAAAATTCATGTGATACCCTATATATACCCGATCTTATACAGACATAGGTTAAAATTTCACACATATTTTTTAACTACAAGTTTTATAAAGTTGGTAATTTCTTTTTGCGACAGTCGAACTTAACTTAACTTAACTTAATGCTAGAGGAAAATAAATAACAATTAAATTCAAGTGGTCTATTCCAGGTCCAGCGTCGTGATGGGATCCTTTGCCTTGGGCATATCTGGAAACAGATGGAAGAGCGTGGAGCTTGGCTTCGTGTCGCTTGTCAGTCGCGTCTCATAGATCATGCCCTCCTTGTTGATCAGATACCAGCTGGGCTTGGGCGTGGCCAGCGCGAATTCCTCCCGATTGAGCGCCGTAATTGGCGCCACCGGGGGCAGCCTTCGGGCGATATCGTCGAGCTCCTTCAAATAGACATCCAAGGCGCGATAGTCGCTGTTGTTGCGCACCTGCTGCTCCGCGACAAATTGTGGGCCAGCGGTCAGATCGTGCTCCTGCCACAAATTGCGTATGGTTGACATGACATCCGCATAGAGCACGGAAGAGGGCGAGGCGAGCAGCTGCTGCGGCTGCGGCTGATTGCGGTTATTTTGTGATTTGCGTGAGTTGACCAAGCGGCTGGCCAATGGAGTTGCGGAAGTTGTCAAGCTGGAAGTCGTCTCCGGAGTGGCTGTTGTTGTTGCTTTTGTTGTTGTTGTTGTGGTTGCCTCATGCCGGAAGTTGCGCACCCTTGCGGGCGTCTTTTTTGCGCCCAGCCTGAACAGACGCTGGCGTCGCCGTCGATTGTCGCAGTTGGTTGCATTTGTCGTCGTTTTCTCGGGCTCCTCGTCGGGCACATAGCGCGTGGCATTCTTGAGCAGCTCCCCAATGTGCGCCACCAGCTGCAGGCCGTGCGCCACATCGTAGCTGCCCCCTTCGTCGTCGCTCTCCGCTTGCCGCCTCACCCGCTTGCTGCGCTTGTGCCCCGGCCGCAGAGCGGCGCGCAGGCGCTGCTGCTGGCCGCGCTGCTGGAGCTGCTGCTCCAGGTACTTCTGGGCGATGAGCGTATGCGTCTGGCGCTGGATGTGCCGCTGGCGCAGCGCCGGTAGCTGCGGCTGGCGCTGACGCTGCAGCAGACGCTCCGTTTTGCGCACCGAGGCGAGTATTTCCATTGGCAGCTGCAGCTGATTATTGTTGGCGAACTGAGCCGCCAGCTGCGTCTCCTGCGTCAGCAGATCTCCGCTGGCACGATTTGTGCTCACCTTGCGCGGCTGCTCCCAGACGACGGCCTGTGGCCTTTTTCCCACTGGCTGTGGCTGTGGCTGCGGCTGCGGCTGTCTTTGCTGCAAGCGCTTGAGCTGTTGGAAGTGCGGCGGCGGCTCGATAATGCGTATCACATCGCCCGCATCCTCGTCCACATAGCCGGGCCGTATGTCCTGCAGATGTGGAGGTACGCGCTGCGCAGGCTGCTTGGACTGCGGGCGAGACACGCGATATACGGGCATGGAGGTGGCATTGCTGGGCGCTGGCTCAACTCTTAGGGCCAGACTAAGCTGCAGCAGGCTGAGTAGGCTAAGTAGGCCCCAGGTGCATCTCCTTTGTGACTGCATTTTACTCTCACTCTCACTTTCAAGGCCGACTTTTCACTTTCGCGTGATCCGGACAACGACATCGACTGCGGCTGCTCCACAACTGCGCCCAGGCGTTCGCCTCGTTGCGCCTTTATAAAATTTGCTCAGCGTTTTTGCCAATTTTCCAGTTTGATTGCGCTTTGTCGCTTTTCTTTGCCATCTCATTTCTCCTACTATTTGCCATGACGCGGTGTCTTTCGTTGTCGTCTTCCACTTCTTCATCAACGTTCAATGAAAGCGAAACTGGCGACTGCAACTGCAACTGTGACGTTGCAAGTCGCAACAATTGCTGCTGCATTCAATGTTATAACCGGTCAAAGACGTTGCCCCAAGTCTGGCCCCCTTTCTCATTCCCCCCTCTATCAAAGTCCAGCCCCGTTTTGTTTTAGAAACCCACTTTGCATATGCAAAGTGAACAGCTCTTCAGTTTGGCACATTTCACATTTTAAAACTAGTTTGAAATTAATTTTTTGAAGTGCTTTTGTTTCTTCTTTGAAGTCCACACTCATATCTCATTAGTAAGCAGCAGCTGGCACTTGGCTTGACCCTAAACTTGAACTTAATTGGGAGAAAGCATACGTAATTAGTTTTCTATTTCAAGATTAACTAAATCTAATCAAACGCAAATTAATTTAAAATATTTGCATATATGATACACTAAATCTCATTTCGAACGGCATTTAAAAAGCGCGCCCAAGCGCTGCGTGTCAGAGGCTGACAGCTATGCACGAGCTGCCGGGCGAAACGTTGGAAATGAAACAATTTAAATTTTAAATAAATGTGCACAAAGTTGCGCAGCTAACAACTTGAATTTGTTGAAAAGTTGTAGCAAATTTAACAAAAAACAAGTAAGAGGTTCTAGTCGGGAGCTCCCGACTGGGGGATCTGCGCGGGAACTAGGAGCATCTACATCTAAAATTTCAAGTCTCTAGCTCTTATAGGTTCTGAGATCCTTGCGTTCATACATACGGACGGACGGACGGACGGACGTACGGACGAACGGACGGACAGACAGACGGACATGGCTAGATCGACTCGGCTATTGATGCTGATCAAGAATATATATACTTTATGGGGTCGGAGATGCTTCCTTCTGCCTATTACATACATTTCGATTTTGCACAAATACAATATACCCTTGTACCCATTTTTAATGGGTTCAGGGTAAAAAGGTATATTTAAATTATATTAATTTAAATATCATATTCTTAAGATTCAACTGGGAATTCGTGTTAAGTGTAGCCAGCTAAGAGTTTTAACTGCAAAACTGTGGCAATAAATTTAAAAATTTAATCAGATTAAACCTGATTTTAAATAGTATTATTTTAATAAATTAGTTTAACTCTTAAGTCCAAAATAAAAACTTTCAATTTATCTGCAAAATGCAACGTTAAAAATATGTAAAGCAATATGGGAATGATTTTAATTTGTATTATTTGAATAAATACTTTTTTAAACTGAAAAAATCGTATTTAATTTAGCTGGAAAATGCAGCTTTAAAAATATGGAAATAAAATTCACATGATGTTCATTTTATTATTTGAATAAATATTTCTTTCAAGCTGAAAAATATTCTTTAAAAGTTGCTAAAAATATGCAACAACAAATGTAAATTTATTTAATTTGTGTTTATCATACTTTAATAAATTATATTTACTTCTACAACTCAACTCAAGCCCTCAGTTGTTTTTTTTTTTTTTGTTTGCTACGCACTACAAATAAATAAATAAATTATTAATGCATAAATTAATTAGATGCTGTTAAACATAAAGTTAGGTAAGATTAGGCAGATTACGTCGTTCAGTTGCAATAACTAGACAATTATAGGATTTACTCCCGCAAGGCACAACTACAAGCTAAGGCGACAACGAATTAATACAACAAACTGCCGCATGCGACTGTTAGCCAGGGTATTCGAGTGGAAAGGGAGTGGGGGGGGGGGGGCATGCGAGTTAAATTTAGTGGGCCACAACCAGCGGCTGCCATGCATTGTCATTGGCAAAACCAAAGCGTCCAGCACCAGCTGCACCAGTCGCCGCAAAGCCAAAGCCCATGCGACGCTCGTGCGAGGCGGACATCGCATGCTGATAGACGCCCATGCCCAGGCGCTGATCCTCCTCCACCTCCACCACCTCTGGCTCAGACTGCGGCTGCGGCTGCGGCTCAACCTCGGCTGTTGTCGCCTCCGCGCGTCTGTTCTTCTCGAAGAAATCTATGATGGGATGGTAGCTGTAGTTGATGCGCCTCGTGCCGTTGCCGTTGCTGATGCCCAAATCCCCAAAGGTAAAGCTCACATGTGGCGGCTGTGGAAGTGCCGTCGACTGCTGCTGCTGCTGCTTCTGCTGGACGTAGGTGGTCGGTAGTGGCGCCGCTGAGCTGCCTGGGCTCGAGGTGGCAGCGACTGCGGGCGTCGTCGCAGCGGGCGCATAGAAACGTGGTCGCGACTTGCTCGCGGCGTTGTGGCGCTTACTCTGGCCGAGGGCAGGGTTAAATGATGCAGTTGCGCTGGATGCAGCAGACGCTTGGTGGGCATGGGCGGCAGCACCGACACCGACTGCGGCTGCGGCTCCTGTGCGGGCTGGTAGACTGCCGGCTGTGGCTGCGGCTGCGGCTGTGGCTGCGGCTGTGCTCTGTGATTTGGATATGTGTATGGGTATGCGTAGTCGAGCTGATCCTCCTGCGGCTTCGCTGGCAACGGTTGCGGCTGTGTGGGTGGTGGAGCTATAAATACGCTTGCGCTTGATGGGCACGCGCGGCTGTTCCCCAGCCAGCGTTGGTCCAAATACGTTTACCTCTTGTCCGGCCTGTGTCTCGCTGGGCGACAGATCCAGATCGATGTCGACGCGCGGCTCATTGTGCTGCGGCCGCCGACGGCTCAGCTGGCTGTAATACTTTTTCGAGCTGGAGCTGGCGCTGGAACTGAGGCTGGAGCTGCTGCTCTTGTGGCTCTTGTAGCCAGTGCCAAAGGGATCCTCATCATCGGGCGGACTGAGGTAGGGGCCCACGCTGGCTGGTGCCGGCAGCTTGGAGCGCACCTTCTTGCTGCTCAGGTAGCTCAGCTCGTTGTTGTCGCGACTGTTGTACGGCGCATAGCTAAGCCCCAAATCGTCCTCGTCGCTCTCGTCGTTGTAGTCCAGATCCTCCTCGTTAATGGTGCTGTAGCCGTTGCTGTTCCCATTGCCATTGACATTGCTGGCCACCTTGTAGCCGGCCGGCGAGTACTCCTTGGCCTGGATGGATGAGAGCGGCGGAAACTGCTGCCGATAGCCGTCCACCTGGCACGAGCAGCAGGTGGGCACTTTGAATATATCCACATGCAGGCCACGCACCTTGTCCCAGCTCAGCAGACGATGGTAGTTGTAGACCTGCGCACAGTGCGAGCGATACGTTTGCGCCAGATACGAACAGCTTTCGCCAGGATTACTAACGAGCAGAGAAAGCAGCGCAATTAGAACAGTTTATGCATACAAAACGCGACAGTCAAGTCTAATGAATCAGACTTTATGACTAATAGCTTGGTAATGCTAATAATTAACAAGGCATTTATATAATGCTATCTGGTTAAACAAATTATAAAGCACAAATGATTATGTTTATTTATATCCCTCTCTCACTCTCTCGCAGTCTCTCTCACTCCATTCTCATATTTGCAGATTCGCCCTCTTTTTTCTGCCGGCTGCAAGACTTGAGTTCATGAGAATTGCATAGAGGGGCATTACTTGCGCTGCTTGTCTACGACATAGCTCTTCATCTAAAAGACGATTACTTCATGTGATAGATAATATATATATATATATTTATCACAATATATTAGCTTTTACTCCAGTGAAAATTTCAGCTATTTTTACAACGAAAATAACTATAATTTCAATGGAGATTATGTTGATGATGATGATGATTGATAGCTCTAACATTAGCTTAGTGTGCCAAATATAGTAGACTCTTTATGTAACTCGATTTGCTCATTTTGGGTTGATGAACTTTGAAAAGTGATTGAAACTTTGTGAGGCAAGTTATTTATATATCTATGTAAAGATATTATACTGACTGACTGATTGATTGGACTAAGTGAAAAAGGAAGCTGAAATATTTACTGAAACTTCTTTTGGTCTTGGTCTAGGTTTCTAAGAGTCGGACCAGTAAGTAAGAAGTCGCTGGCTCAAATTCAGTAAATAGTTTTTTTTTTAAATATAGTTTACTTGAAACTAATTCAATTCGATAGCTAGCTCACCTGCACTTCTCCAGCCGCAGCGTTTGTGTGTGCTGACCCGTGTTGACAATAAACTTCCATTCGCCGGAGGCGGCTTTGGCTTTTTGTGGGCGGGCATAGCGCACAACGCTCTGACACATGCCGCCGGCGCTGCCCTCGTCCTCGCGCCTAAAAAATATATTTAAAGAGAGATTATATTTTCTAATGCCGTTTACTAATGGTCTTTTACTCACCGCTTTTTGTTGAGCAGATAGTCGTCGAACTCGTCGCCAAACTCGAGATTGTTATTGGGCTTGTCGTAGAACTCGGCCAGCAGAGCGCTCATCGCATTCTTGTGCCGACGAATGCTGCCCATGATCTGTTCGCTGCGTTGAGGTGAAAGTGGAGAGTCAAGAGAGGGATTTTTTTTTCTTAGCTGGTAACAGGGGAATTAGTAGAACCACCAAAACCACTAAAATATGTGTGCAATTGGATTGAGAAGGTGAACAAAATAAATTACTTTTATTTAGCCTAAAAATCTTACTACACTAGACTAAGGGCGGGCTACAACCCGGGAAAGGGTACCAAAAGCCAGCTAACTAAGTGGATCTTACAGCGGATAGTCGTCGGTGCGTATGCACATGTTGTTGGTGAAGCGTTCGCATTTCTTGTGCGTCGGCGCCAGCACCGGACTGTGCGAGCTGGCCGAGCCCTTCGGCCGGCCGCGGCTATAAACTGAGCTCTGGACGCGCTTCCTCTTGATCGCCGGCAGCTTGGGGCTGGGTCGCCGATAGCGCGGACCCGCTATGAGCTCCTCGGGACTGGGCAGCGGCTCCTCAGCGCTGCTGCTGCTGCTGTTGCCGCTGTCATTATTCAGCTGCAAGAGACGCTCGTCGGCGTCGGTGCCATTCAGTCCGGCCAGGGCGAGATCCTCGATTTGCTCGTAAGACTGCGTGGTGCTGGTCGCCGGTGTGGCGGCCGTGCTGGCCGCTGCAGCACTGGGCGGCTGCTGGAAGATCGTTGTGTTCAGCTTGATGGTGCGTCCCGCGGCGCCGCCCAGCAGCTGCTGCTCGCTGACCGAGACGGGCACGGAGCGCGTCAGCTTGTGTACAAATTCGTCGGCCGTGCGACGCACGCGCCGCGTCCGATTCGCGATGGACTGGGACTGGTGCTGGGCAGCCGTGGGCGTGGCTGACTGTAGCGCCTCATTGATCATCTGCGGATCGAGCACCTCCGCTTGCATCTCATCGAAGAAGTCCTCCAGCGAACTGGCCGCCTGCGCAGGCTTCGCGCCGACATCTATAGTGCCCACGCTGTCGTCCTGCTCGGACTCCTCGAGGGTGAGCACATCCTTGCGCTTCTGCAGCGGCGTTTGGCGCAGCGCCGCAGCAGCCAGCTCGTTGCCCAACCGGATGTACTTGCGCGCCGAGCTCTTCACCAGATTGGCCAGATCGTAGACGACGGGCAGCAGCAGTTTCCTGTCGTCACCAAACATCATGCGCACCTGCGAGACGGGCAGATAGGTGAGACAAATGTGATTTAATTAAATATATTTCCTGACCTGCTCCAGCTTAAGCTCCTGCCCGCGCTTGGCGTTCATTTGTGCCGAGATCAGGGCAGAGAGCGCCAGGCGCTGCTGCGAGGACAACACGCGCAGAATGGGCATCACTTCGGCAAATTTCTGGCGCAGCACACGATCCGTCAGCGCCTTGGAGAGGGCTGTGCGCAGCACTCTTTCGCGCCAGTCGAACTGGGGCAGCTGCTTCTCCGGCTCCGGTTCGTCCAGGTCCACGCTAAAGTCAAGCATATTGTCCTCCAGTTTTTTTTCCACCTGCTCCGCCTGCTGCTCATCGGCCAGCTGCCAGTCCTCGATGTTGGCTCTGGCGTCCGTTTCGGTGGCATCGGCAAAATCAAAGTCAAGCAGCTCATCCTCGCTGGCGCTGACCAAATACAGCACACAATAAAGCAACGCCCAGAAGAGGCAGCCAAAAGCGCGGCCCGCTTTCATTTTCGCTGCGAAACAAACGAAAGTTGTTGGAGAAAAAATGGGCGTACAGATTGCAGTTATTAAGACGCAATTAAATTCCACAAATAAAGCATCCAAAAAACTTCCCAAAACTAAAAATAATTTATTGTTATGCGTCGCACGCTTTCAACAGCGCGCATTCTAAACGAAAGACTTAGGCAACGAACTTTTGCTTTCATTGTCTTAGATTTGAATTTGTTGTTGTTGTTGCCGTTCGCCTTTTCACCGAAAGTAAAAACCATTAACATGAGCATTAACAATTGTAATAAAACCGTAAACACCACAATGCACCACCGCACCATCGCACCACACACACGGCGTCAGCGCCAGGGGCTGAGCCGCAATCATAATCAAGTCGTCGCAGTGGCTATTACGGCAGCTACCGCTGTGGCTTTAGGTAATCGCCGCTAGCATAGCCATAGCCACAGCTATAGGCCACAGTCATAGTCGTAGCCATAGTCACAAGCCATATTCATAGCCATAGCCATAGCCATAGCCTTAGCTATAGTCGCAGTCACAGTCATAGCCAGCGCCGCATTGTGGCCAACGTCATCTTCGCCTGCTCAACAAGGCGTGAAGCACCAAACAACTCATAAGTGCCGTTGTCAGTGTTGCGGTTGTTGTTGTTGCAGTTGCTCTTGTGCTTCTCCTGCCACTTCACGTATTCAGTCATAAATCAGGCAACCTCTGCAAGCTGTGATCTGTGCAGCTAACTGGGCAAAGACCTTGCGGCTGATAACAATAATTTTACACTATGCAACAATATTCTGCTGCCTACAAGTCATAACATAAATAATAAAGAAGGCTGTCTGCGGCACGCCGAAGAATTAATACTCTTAAAAAAATAATGTCCTTGACGATATGTGAGAAGTATTGTAAAATTCGTAATTTCCGAGTTTGGTTAAGATATTTGGATACATGAAAATTCATCCATTGGAATATATGTATATTCAAGTGATTCTTCCTACAGAGCTATATAATATAGAAGTCCTATATTGAAAAATATTACTTCTAGGAAGCATCATATTTATATTGATAAACATTAAAGCTATTCGTAGTAGTACTTAATTTTCAAAAGATTATTTCCATGGCAGCTATGTGATATAATGGCCTGATCCGACTTATATACTGTTAACAAGACCAAGACAGAATTAAGCAAAGGCAAGCTTCAAGACTGATAGATTAGTTTGCATAGAAGTCTGATAGAAAACGACAGACAAACATGATTATCAGCTATCGGCTGATGATCGTGATCAAGAATGTCGCAGATGTCTTCTTCTATGCATTACTTATTTCACGTCTTAATTCTAACACTATCTTCAATGGCTTAATAGTTTATAGACTAACACAAAGTATTTAAATGTATCACTTACAGTTTAAGCTTGAAAGGTTTTACTATTCCCCTTGATGAGAGAATTTCAATGTCTTCTAACTACCTCCGATCCCCATTTAGATCTATTCGGGTAATTTCTCTTCATAGGCACCGCCCATACGGACTGAAGCTCATTTCCAGGGAACTTTATACAATTTGATGTATCTCACTTTTTGGAGAAGCCAACTCAATCCTACCCAAAACTTTGTTTTAAAACTCTGTCGATGGTTTTCAAATCACTTTCAAATAGAGACGTCTTAGATATAAAGCAAAAAACGCAGACCGGCAAGGCTGAGAAATGCCAGTAGATTTATATATATATATAGATGTGATTCATATAAGTTTATTAAACGTGCGCTTATTCTAGCACAGTCGATATGAATCAACTTTGCATTTTGGGGTTAAGAAACTGAAGCTACTGAAAACCGATTTCCTGATTAATAAGCTAGACATGCTCGTGCCCTCGTCTTGAACCCGCATTGATATGTATGTTGATTGTTTTTTTTTTTTTTTTTTGGTCGATCACAATGCAAAGGCGCGCGCGCGCCCACGGAATGCAAACAATTGCATTCGAAAGCGCTCGTCTGTGAATGCGAATGCGATGGCAGCTGACAAATTCAAATGCTAACTACACCCAGGCCCGAGGGAGGCGGACAGACAGACAGACAGACAGCAGCTCCTTAAGGCATGGCCAGAGGCAGCCTCTGCAGCAACTGCAGCAGTTGCAGTTGCCTTTGTGCTGACCTTTGCGCAGTTGAAAAGTGAAAACTTGCCGACGCTTTGGCTTGGCTTTATCTATCGACTGGTTGACAGTTTAGAAAAGGCAACGAGAGACATTAACAGCAACTGGCAAAGGAGCCTGCCAAAACAAGCCACAAGGCCAGTAAATAAAAAGCCGCTGCCAGATCTTCAGGTTGCATCTTCAACTTAGAGATGAACATGGGTCGTGCTCGTCTCTTTCTATAATTCGTTCGTGTTTCGTGCACATCTTAGCACATCTTAGAGCATGTTCTCTAATTAAGAACAATATTTTTAGCTATAAGTTTTGACTCAAGCCCATTCGATAGGACACTTTGAACAGGCAAATACTTTGTATTCCAACTCAGCGAACGGAATTTTTTTTCAAAAGTAAAAATAAATAACATGAGAAAATATATATGATATATACAAGCCAAACACGACCCGCGCCCATCGCTAGCTCAGTTGGCAACGCGGCCGCCCCCAGCTGCCGAGATTTGTGCGCATCGTTTGTTTTGGCTTTATGCGGCGCGCAGGTCGTGAGGATGTTGCCGTTGTGCCTGTGTCTTTAAATTATTTTGCACACCTGCGCAATGGCATTGGCAACACATCTAATGGCAACAGAGAAGGAGAGTGAGAGAGAGGGGGAGAGAGAGACCGACCTCGGCGCTTCTGGTTTTTGTGCGGCCTTTTGCATATGAACATTCGCTGGGCACTGTGGAAAGTGATGCCATAAATCAAATTAAGCCAATAAGCCGCAATATTTCCCACAGGCCATTCGGTTCCCAGGCGCCCACATTCAGTAAAAGTGAATAGATATACAAATTGCGCAGATGCTGCAGCTGGGAGATGCTGCAGATGGAGCTGAATGCAATTTCACTCGCCAAATTCTTTGGCAGCTCGTAATTAGCTTATAATTCGCGTGCGTTGCGACTGACGTTAAAACTGGGCCAGTCGAAAAAAACAAAATGAAAAACAAGCAAAATAAAAAACACATCAACCAACAAATTAAAGCGTTGCAATAAGAGAAACAACAACCGCAGCAAGAAAGTCGCGAGTCAAGAATCCTATAAGCAGACACCAGCTTGTGGCTGCTGCAGCAACAACAACAACAACAACAACAAGAACAACTACAACAACAACTAACCGACTAACCTAGTAAACGCAACTTGAACTAGACAGCTCACAGATTGGACAGTGTACACTGTCCAACCAGCCAAAAGGCGAAAAATAATCGATGGCGCGTGCTCACATATTCAATTTGCCAGCCCTAAACGAAAGACTTAGGCAACGAACTTGACACTAGGGCAAAGCGGCGCTGTTAACGATGCCATTAAATACAACATGAAATGCGGGGTGCTCTGGTTGGACATGCACGACTGGAAAATACCCTCAACAATGCTTCCATTTGCCTTAGCCTTATTCTATGGATAACTTGTTTGTGATTAGCTGAGGAGCTTATAGTCCGATGTCTATGTAATTTTCAGGGATTGAATATGGAATATATAGCAGGGCACAAGGCTCCAGCTGCAAACATAAGTTTATTATTTTTCTATTCTATTCTATTTTTATAGGAAAAGGGAAAGGTATCCACAAAGGAAAATATTTTTAATACGTAAACACATAAAGCTATAAATCAAGTTTGGAATATTTAACTATTCAACAGTATACCCCCTTTTATATATTTGCAATGGGCGCAGGGTATAAACACAACAACAAAAACAACAACAAGACGCACAGCACGCACAGCTTAACAAGCTGACACAATTTCCTCGGCCGTAAAGAATAAAAAGAATTCAAATTTTGGTGCGTCGCTTCGTTTGTTGTTGTTGTTTTTGTTTCTTTTAGAAAGTTGTTTCCATTTCACATATTTGGCTAAAAAACACACAAATAAAAAAGAAGCAGCATTTAAAGATTCCAATTTCGATTTTGGCTGTTCGATTTTGTTGTTGTTTTGTTTTTATGATTAATTTATAAAATGAGGCTGCGCTTCGCAAGAAATCACCTCAATCGCTTTGGAGCTGCGGCTTTATGTTTAGACCCGTTTATTTCCTGAGAACCGCAATCGAACTTCTTCACTAATTTTCACTTTTTATGTTAACTGCAGCTGTCGCTGCTTCTTCTTCATCTAGTTATTGATTTTGTTTGAAGGCAAATTTTCACAGATTTCACACGCGCCTTTATTTGCCGCAGCTTTTTTCCCACTTCTCACTGGCGAGAGAGTGAGCGAGAGAGGTATATAGAGAGAGAGAGAGAGCAGATCGAGAGCAAGAGAGTAGAGCAAACACTGTGAATAACTGTGCTCAGCTGCCGCTTGCACGTCTTAACGCTTTCAACACTCGCCGCCGACTGTTTGCTGAGGCGCCGCTGTCTCTGCCGCTGCTGTCTCTGCTGCTGCTGCCTCTGCTGACTGCGCTGCCGACTGCGCTGCTGGTTCTGTTGCTGCTGCTGCGACGTGTTTGCATTAAAATTGCCAATTGTCTAATTGCTTTTCTTTTGCAGTTCGCCGAACCGTTAGCTGGCATTAAAAACTATACACAATTTCAATTTGCTAAATAGCTCGCACGTAATGCGGAAGCTTTTGCGCGCTTCTTCACGCCTCATTACAAAGTTCGTGTCTTAAGTCTTTTGTTTTTTTTTCTTTTGTGGGTCAGGAAACAAAACGCGCGGAAGCCTGACAAATATGCATAGCTAAATTAAATAGTTAAAGAGTCGTTAACTACCGATTTGCCTGACACTGCATTCAGCTGCAGCCTGTCTGGGGGTCAGGAGTCAGGCGAGGGCCCGCAGCGTAAATCAATTTAACAAGCTGCCACTTTTGGCAGGCAGACGAAAGGCAGGCGGCTAACTTTCGTTTTATTTTTTCTCTATTGTCTATAATCTGAAAATAGCTGAAAAGGGTCTTTAGATTTTATGCAAAAGCATGTGACAGGCAGTAGGCGGTAAATTCGAGGCGTATATAGTATATATACTTGTTCAGGAGTAAAAGTGTCAAACTTTGTGACTTTAAAAACTAAAGACTTCACATATGAAAAAAGGAATATATCCTTAAAAATTAGGGACTTAACATATTAAAAAAGAGGAATATGTCTTCATAATTTGTCATTTTTTTGATTTCCGTGCCATATTCATAATATCGATAAACATTATTCTTGACGCATGGTCTTTTAGGCATAGCTCGTAAACTTTGATACACCAAACTTGATATTTAGATTGTCATAAAATAGAAACATATTTTAAGTTTCAAACACTTTGGATACCGAGTCTCCCTTCCCTCCCCTTGCTTTTTAGTATATACACTCTTTTGTATGCCATACTAAAACATTGCTAATTTCGGAAAGATCAGACAATAAACACTATTAAACACGAACGCATTTCTCGTAGAGTGGGCCAAGTAGAAGAATAAGAAAACTTGCAAACTGCGTGCTTCCGATCGCGTGTCTGCCTAGAAGGAAGCTAGAAGGCTTGTCACTGAACTTAGGGTATCTTCCATTCGCACATTTTCGACTTGCCCAACTTAACTCGTTTTCTTTTTGCAAAGTCTGCCCTCGGCCGTGACTTAAACTGCACAGTTAGTGGCTTACTCCCCGCTAATTGAACTGCAAACTCCGGCTATTGCTCCATTATTGAGTTTCGGTTTTGTGCGCTTTATCATTTGGCTAGTGGAAATTAAAGAGGCTTAAGTTGGCATCTGCTCACTTTCAATTGCCACTAGAAATTTTCTTCACACTTTCTTGGCACAGCTGCTGCATTTTTAGCATTACTTTTTTAATTTTTTGTATTTTTCACGCAATGCGTGTTTCGGCTCTTTAGGCCGTTACGCACATTATGTTTATGTCCATTAAACATATTACCGCATCGCTGGCGTTTTATTTTATTGCAGCGTCATCAATCAGCGATGCAAACGAACGCGACGTGAAAAACTCTTTTGCCGACTTTCCCGCTAACATCTGCCATGGCCATAAAAAAGCCCGCATTCAGCTTGGCTAATTTGCGAATTACCGTCGACTCCCTTTTGTTGTTGTGCCTGCTGAAAAGCCAAATTGCTGGCAGTTATAAAATTTATCCCTTGATTGATGATCCCGCTGCGACTCGATTCGCTTAGTTCCTCAATTGTGCAACAACGAGGAAGATGTGCGCCGTCTATGCAACTGTGAACTTCAGAAACTAAACTGAGCTGAAACTCATTAATATGCTGCCTTAATGCATATCGTTTGCTTAATTATGCATTAAGTCTCGTTTAGAATATGCCAAGCACTGATGAGTGTGGGGCCTTCCGGTTATATGATGCCTCAAGGTAAATCAGCTTCGATTTTTGTTAATTATACATTTTATGCTTTTAAGCACAAGTTATCTGTCAGTTTAAATCCAGCCAAAATAGAAACTTTAATTATTAATAAATAAAAATATCTCCTCCTATTTTAAGGTAACAAAATGTTTTTGATTGCCGAACAAACAAATTTAAATTTTGAGCTAGTTCAAAAACAACTAGCTCCAATCGTAACTGGTTGTAGTTGCCAGCTGCTTGTAAGTACGTTGTAGACTTTAGTTGAGCAAGATGGCAACCTTATGAGCACGAAAGCAGCGCTGCCAACTCGATAGCAAAAGTTTAAGCTAAAGATTCATTTAAATGAGCCCTCTTTTAGATATAATATTAAGCTATTGCATTCCATTTAGATAAAGAAACTCGGGAGCTCCCGACTAGGCGATACCCTGAACCCTCTTCTTCCAACATGAAATGCATATATATATTCTATTTTAGAAGCTATATGTCAAGTTTGGTGACTCTAGCTCTTATTATTTACCAAAATTGCCTAAAAAACAGGATATCGATATCGATTTTTATCGATTATCGGAAACAAACTCGATCTGCGCAGGCACTAGGAGCGCCTACATCTAAAATTTCAAGTCGATTTCTCTTATAGGCTCTGAGATCCCTCGTTCATACATACGGACAGACGGACAGACAGACAGACGAACAGACAGGCAGACAGACAGGCAGACAGACAGACAGACAGACGGACAGACAGACGGACAGACAGACGGACAGACAGACGGACAGACGGCTATTGGTGCTGATCAAGAATATATATACGTTATAGGGTCGGAGATGCTTCCTTCTGCAACATACATTTGGAATACAATATACTATTATACCCATTTTTAATGGGTTCAGGGTATAATAAATACGCGTATGCTACTCTTACAAATTTACCATATTTTTCAATACATACATTCTCAATTAAATAAGCGTCGAATTAACTTTCAAACGCTTTTGAAATCTATTTTAACTATCTCTACAGATACTACCATATAAATGATAAGCGTATATTTTCCGCAGATCCGACTATACTTACCCGAGGTATTCATATTATAACATATTATAAATATTTAAGACGCGGATAAGTTAAGTCCGATCTGCGAATAATATTGCCGATTATACTCATAAGGATAGCTACTATCGATTGACACATACAAATAAATTCTAGATGCCGAAATTTTATAAAAATAGCTAGAGCTTACATTAAAATTTTGGCGAAAGTTCGGATAGTTTCTGAAATCAAAATTTTTTTCAATAATCCAGAACGATCCCCACTCTCGAGTTTAATATGAATGGCTAGAGATTAATTTTGAAGTGAATTAAATTTTTTGGCAAAAATTGGATTCAAAAATCGGCAATTTTTGATTTCAATCTATTCTATAAAGCTTTCAAAATGTCAGATATTTTCCAAATCAGATTTCAATTAACCGAGCTATGAACAATGTTTTTTAAAAATGTTAAAATTTGAATACGTAGCGTACATAAGTTAAGACTTGGAATATTATAGATCATACGTATCTGGAGCATCAATTGACAATTAACAAAATGCAATTTTTAAAATTTCAAAATTTACGCTAAACTTGGCTGGGTAAAGTTATGTACACAAATATAGATATAGCTAGATATTTAAATTGGTGTAAATATAATTATTATATTTCGTGTTTAATTAATTTATTTGTACAATTATATATTTCTATATCGATAACAATAATATTAAGTCCTATGTTGAGAAGAATAAATTTCAAAACTAAACTCTGTGCCATATATTGCGGTGCAGTCAACTCGACTAAGGCTACGGATTACGTTGGGCGGCTCAACTTGGGAAATGAATTTTAGATATAGACTAGAAGAACTAAGTGACTAATATCAACTAAGCACAAGTAGCGCCATTAATTAAACATAGGGCCTAAATAATAAAATCATAAAATAAATCATGTGCAACGCATACAATATATACAAAAGATTGAGAGAGAGAGAGCTCTCAACCGAAAACGTAACGAATCTAAGAGGCAAAGATACAGATATAAGATACAAATAATACTGCTCGACAAGCACGCGAATTTTGAAATGGTACAGGAAGTGTGTGTGGGGGTGTGTGTGTGTGTGTGTGTGTGTGTGTGTGTGTGTGTGTGTGTGTGCGAATGAGCCTGATGTACACATTAGTTGGTGGGCAATGGCGACGAGATGATGGAGTGCAACAGAGCCCCGCATCGAATCAAAGGAAACGCGCTTCGGAAACTCGAACAATTATTCTCAAGCTGAAAATAAGCTCAAGTTGGGAAAATATAATAATTGAAAGATCGACTTGACCGAAGATTCGGTTCAATAGAACTAATCTTACTCGCTGCAAGCTCGTTCGAGCTAATCGATCTGCATGTATTGTCTCAAGCCGTTAGCTCGAACATGTTTCAGCTGCTCGAGTTGCTCCAACTTCGTTTGAATGAATGTCTCCGTTTAGTTCGATACTTTTAAGCTCGAGTCTGTCGGTTTTCGTTTAAATCGATTGAGTACCCGAGTTTGCGGCAAATGTATTAACCGATGCCGGGCCCTAGTGTGCAGGTGGTTGTTGATGGTGGATTGCTGGATGGGGTGATTCAGTCAACGTCATATTTCGCACTCAAACTCCGAGATGCGGTGGTTGAAGTAGACAACGCCATGTTCGAGATCCTCACTAAAGCCGCTCACGTCCATATAGTCCGAGGCGGCGGAATCATCATCGACCCACTTGTGCAGCGATCGTGTGATCTCCAGACGCGACTGTGCGAACGTGGGCCGCAGCTGCGGCTCCTTGTGCCAGCAGCGTGACATCAGATTGTAGAACTCGTGCCGGCTCTCCTTGGGCAGCTCGGGTCGCAGGCCCTGCGGCACGCGGCGTATGACCTCGCGGCCCGTCAGATGCGAGTACGGCGTGGAGCCTGACCAGGAAATGAGAAGTGAGTAGAGGAAATATTTTATAAGGAGCCGAGTCGCATCCTACCCAGCGTGGCAATCTCCCAGAGGACGATGCCAAAGGCCCAAATGTCTGTTTCGGTGGTGAACATGTGAAACTGTAGACTCTCCGGTGCCATCCAGCGTATGGGCAGGGCATGCCGCTTGCCAATTGTATCATGGCCATGATGCTTCTTCTCTGCCTGATCCTTGGAGCAGCCGCCGCCCTGCTGGCTCTGGCCAAAGGTGTGCTGCCAATGCTGCAATATATAGCGACTGCCAAAGTCGAACTTAAACTTTTGCGCATTGCTGCGCATTATATCGTTGGCCGCATTCTTCTCCTGCTCCTTGCGTATGCGCTCCGCATCCAGATCAATGGACATGCCAAAATCACAGATCTTGCACATGCCATTGTGATCCAGCAGCACATTCCTCGCCGCCAGATCCCGATGGACAATCTGTCGATAGAAAGTGAGTAGAATTTAGAAGTTTGATCTATTCGGTTAGTTGGAAACTGAGCTCACCCTGTGCCCGGCTATGTACTCCATGCCGCAGGCAATGTCCAGCGCAAAGCCCGCCAGGGTGCGTGGCGAGAGCGGCGCCAGGCTGCGTCCGCCCGGCACCGAGGCGGGCAGAATATTTGTCGCGCTGCGTGCGGCCCGCAGCAGCGACAGCAGACGTCCACGCATCGCGTACTCCATGATCAGCATGTGCGGTTCTGCGTTAAAAGATCGTAGAAGGATTAGATGGGATTAAGTGTGAAATACCCATAAGAGGCGCATATGTACTGAAGACTTAAATGGAAGCATCTCCGACCTCACATATTATTGATCAGAAAGACGAGCTAGCCAAAAGTCGCTCGTCTGTCTGTCAGACATTGAATTTTAAATATATATTCTCCTACTACATTCGCAGAAAGGTGTTTTATCGATTTTGAAACTTGGTTCTCTTAAGCACAACCCTCGAACTATAAGTGCTATATACACCAGACTTGGTGTCTGGGTTCGCTTTTTGAGAACCCCACTCGATTCTCCACAGATCAAAAAATACTCATTAACTAGAGCAGAAGTATTCAAAGCTAGAGCTCTGCTCTTTGGCAGGTGAAATACTTAGAGTCGGCTCCCAATTTTCTCCAGCTGCAATACGTACCGCTCTCAACGCAGGCGCCCAGCAGCGTGACCACATTCTGATGGGAGCCCAGCTTTCGCATAATGTTGGCCTCATCCTTGAGACTGACCTGGGCGCTGCAGGCGCGTATGGTCTTCACGGCGACGATGCGCGTGGCACCGAAATGGCCGCTCAAGTCATCGGCCTCGGCCTTCCATACCTGGCCGAAGTTGCCCTCGCCAAGCAGACTCTTCAGGCGGATGTTGGTGCGCTCAAACTCCTGGTACTCGCTGGCCAAGGATGTTTTGTCATCGTAGCGATTGTGATTGGAGTCGCGCGGCGTCTGTTGCGCCTGCGAGTTGGACATGGGCATGCCCAGCTGCTGCTGCTGCTGATGATGGTCGACCTCGTCATCGTCCGGCTCCAGCTGATACTTGGAGTCCAGCTTTTTGACAGGGCTAATCGGCTGCTGATCTGTGATGCACACATCGAAGACATCGTCCTGCTTAGCCTGGCGGCGCACCACATAGTTGCGCACCAAATACAGGACAATGGCCACCAGTGGAACCACGCCCACAGCGACCAGAACGAGTGTGACCAAATTCATGCGCCTCATTTCCAGATCCACATCACGCTCCTCCGCAATTGCCGTGGAACTGACGTCGGCTGGAGTCGAGGCGGAGGCGGAGGACTCCACAATGCCTATGAAAATGTTGGGGGGCGGCGGTGGCGCTGGGCTGGTGGTGCGTGGATTCACCGTGGAGCGCACCGATGTCAGCACCGTGGTGCGCAATATTTTCGACCCCGAACTGGAGTCGGTGGTGACCGCGAGCTGTGGCGGTGGTGTGCGAGGTGTCGCCGCACAGTTGGCGGTGCTGTTGCAGAATATGATCAGATTATTCTGATCCTCGATATTGATCTCCTGCGTAAGCGAAGGGCCCAAGGCACGCAAACGTTCCGTATCCTCCTCGATGATGGTCTTTGTCTTGGCTGACTGTGTGCTTGTGGTGCTTGTGATGGTTGGAGCGGCAATTGTGGTGCTTGGCTGAAAGGTTGTTGTGGTAGTGGTTGGCCGAGTGGTTGTTGTTGTGGTGCTTGGCCTGGTGGTTGTTGTGGTGCTTGTGCTTGTCGTTGTGGCAGGTGTCGTGGTGGTGCTGCTTGTCGTTGTGGTGCTGCTTGTCGTTGTAGTCGTGCTTGTCGTTGTGGTGGTGCTTGTCGTTGGCTTCCTTGTGCTGATGGGTGGCTCTGTCGTGGTGCTTGGCTCCGGCTCGGCTTGAGCCACCGGCGTTGTCTCCTCCTCGGCGCTCAATACGGTGATGATGAGTGGTGTGGATGATGTCTGTGGTTTGCCAGCCACTCGACGGACCAGCGCGGGCTTTTGCAGCAGCTCGGGCTCATCTCGGGCTGGCTCGACGGGCTTTTGCTCCACCGAGCTCTCGGCCAGACCCGCTGTGGGTCGGCCCGAGCCCACGTAGCGTGTGCGGCTGCTGACTAGCGGCGGCAGTGGATTCAGTGGTGCAGTGGGCGCCACGCCACGTTCGCGCATATGATATTTGTAGCGGCTGCGACTGCGCTCCACGGCGGTCAGGGGGCGTCGCGTGGACACGGTGGGTTCGGCCGTCGGCTCTGCTGTGGTGCTGGTGGTGCTGCTGGCCTGGCTAACGGAGACCTCGAGCACGCGCGGATGAGAATCATCACCCTCGGCCGGGGTGATGGTTAGTGCGCCGGGCTTGATGGGCGGCAGCTTGGCGCCAAAGTACAGATAGGGTTGCAGCTCGGCCTCATCCTCGTCCGCCTCGTCGACCTCGTCCTGCTGCTCCAACGCGGCCAACATAGGCTTGCCACGCCCACGCTGTTTGCCCGCCGCCGGCAACTTGGCAGCATCCGCAATGTGGTTGAGCGTATCGTTCTGCTCCTTGGCCACGACAAAGAGCCCGTGCGAGGACTCGTCGCTGAAGAGTATCTCGTTGGTATCGCGCTCGACCGTGGCCGTGCCCGTGCTGGCCGCCTTGCTGGGCGCCCGCAGCACCACCGAGGAGCTGTTGCTGGCGGTGCCCGGCATGGCCATGCGCGTAAAGTTGGCGCATTGCCGCATGCAGCTAGCGGTGGTGCGGCGCGTGAAGTTCTTGGTGCAGTTGCGTATGCAAACGGAACGCGGATCGCTCGGCGACTTCGAGGTGCTCTCCACGGCAGCCGCTGCCGGCGAGGTGGCGCTGCGTCCGGTGGTGCCGATCCGTGTGCGAAAGCCGCCGCGTTGCAGTGCGGTGCGGCGCGCAGCCAACACATTCCGCAGCTTGCGATCCCGCTCCAGCGCCGAGTTGAGAGGCGCCATCGAAGGGCGACCGCCAGCCGTGGGCCGGTACGTCGTGGGCTTCTCGCCAACCACATCTGCAGGAGAAGAAGGGCAACGATTAGTAAAGCCGAGCTGCGAGTATGCTAAAGAGCTCTCCACTCTACTTGCGAGAGTTCTTGTTAAGAATCGTGACGCGTCTTGGAAAAACAAATCGCAAAATAAATAAATCAAATAAATAAATAAATATTAATGCGTTCAGACCAAGCGCTAAATCCGCAGACAAACACGAGCCGAAACTCGTTTCAATTGGCAACCGGCCAAGAGTTGAGTTAAGAGTTGCGTCTTTGCCCTGAACAAATTGAATATGGTGTACAAATAAGCAATACAGAAAATTTATATATTCAGCAACAACTGTGGAGATCATATCCGCTTGTCGTCTGTCTTGTCGATATCAGAGAAGAACTTGTCGCTATTAGAGACTGTAGAGCAGCTATAAAGAATCTTTTTTATATCCTTGTATCTTATCTTGCGACATCTCCTATAAAGTATATATATATAATCCAGATCATTATCTACATAACTTCTACACAACCTGATCTCTCAGCTTCTTGAAATTCTACACACGTCTGTCTGTTGCATGAACAGTATGTCATATATCTGCCATGTAATGATCAGTCGAAAAGTAGGTGCTAGGCAAATCTTTTCGAGCACTTTTATCAGTTCAGCCTAGAAATATTTTAGGCATCCTTTGGCTCGCAGTAGCCTCTTGACCTGTTTGCACCGTGGGGCAGCAGCTGAGCTGAGCTGAGAGTAATTAGTTAGCCACAAATTGGTGGCAGCTACGCGACGTGGCTGCCCCTCGGGCGAAACAGCTGCCCATTGTGCAGTGCATTTGTTAATGGGCATTTTTGTTTTTTTTTTTTTTTTGTTTGTGTTGGCCAAATCTTATTCTGCTGCTCGGGCCATGAATCATTGAGGCGATTATCAAGCGGCTGCTTGCACAATTGTTTAATTTTCACGTTGCCATTAAAAAACTGCCAAAACGACTCGCAGCCAACAATGTTAACCAACAAATTGTTGTTGTTGTTGCTGTTGCTGCTGCTGCTGCTGCTGCTGCTGCTTTTCACAAGCATTTAGTTCATTGGCTTGCAGTTTAGGCCAAGGTTAGGCATCTGGCATCTCAAGCGCGGCGAGACTAGAACAAGCGACAAAACTCGCTGCCGCCTTTTGGCCACGGCAGACTTGGATTTATATATTCGTTGTCTTTTTGTTTTTGTTTTTTTTTTTGGGTTCGAGCCTCGCTGGCTGCTCCATTGAGTGCGCTCCATAGTCTGCCTATTTCACTGTGCGCCCCATTTGGGCGTCTCGTCACGTCGCTGCCTTCAACAGAACCAACAACAATAGCAACAACAACAACGACAACTACGAGCTGCGAGCTGCCATTTTGACTGTATGTTGCGAGACGCGGGCGTTGCTGTGCCTACTTTTAATACCCTTACTTAAATGTGAATATGAACTATGACATTCTATATGCTGGACAGAAAGTTCATGATGTTACAGCATGAAGAATATATAAGAACCAGGCCAAGTCAATGGGCCTCTTAAGAGAAAGAGTTAGAGATTGAGAGAGAGGAGAAATGCTGAAGGAAACGAAGAAATAGTTAAAAAGAATGTCCTCGCAGCTTAAAGAAGATGTTATGCAGAATGATAAAAACTGAGAAGCAAATAGTGTAAGACACCATATAATAAGAAAAAGAAAAAAATGAAGGAGTAAGAGGAACTGGGAGAGAAAAGGAGAGGACAACCGAAGATTGTGACTAAGAATGAGACAGAGTGAATAAGAGAACAGATAATAAGAGAGAGAGAGAGAGAGAGAGAGAGAGAGAGAGAGAGAGAGAGAGAGCGCGAGATAATAAGAGAGACAGCGAGAGAAATATAAAGAAGAGAATCTGGAGACAGCAGATAATAAGAGAGAGAAAAAGAATGAATGAGAGAAAAAGAATGAATGAAGAGGGAGACATAGCAGTGTGTCTCACAGCAAATAGTAGCTAGAAGTGAGTTTTCTCTAAAGATAAGAAAAGAGGTTTAAGGTAAGACATATGCAGCAAATAGAGAGCATTAAAAATTTGGCGTATTTTCAACTTTTCACATATATTTTTTAAAGCAGTTGTCGCTGTTGCGGTGTTTGTCGTGCTGCAGTCGGACAGACAATCGTCAATCCACTTGGCCGCGCAACTTCTTGGCATTAGCTATGCTGCTGCTGCCGCTGCTGTTGCTGCTGCTTGGTATGCGCTGTGGAATTTTAATTTGAATTTGGCCATAGACACGATTTTGTTTTTTTGGGCAGCGGCTGCACGAAGCGAACCAAAACGAACGAACCGCAGCCACAAAATGGTCAACAAAGCGCAAAAAGCGCCGAAACATTGCGGCTCTCCACGAAAAATTCTCCTTTGGCACAAACACAAATTCTAAGCAACTTAGCCAAGTCAAGTGCTTACATAATGCCAAAAAATCAAGAGTGCTCTAGTCGAAAGTGACCGACTAGAAGATGCCCTTCTGCGGTGGATGACGTTTGCGTAGACAAATTTATTTCTAAAGCTCTATACTACGTGTTTCAAACTTTTCGCAAAATCCTTGCTTCCTTGATAGAAATGCGATACAATGATCTCTTGGGCCTGTGTGCCAGTTTGTACATACATGTATGCATGCGCACATGTATGAATATATGTCCCGATGCCTACATACATGCACAAATACATCCTTAAATAAATACATCCAAACATACACGCATGCATACATAAATTCATACATACATACATGCATACATATGTACATATGCATGTACACATGTGTATGCATGTCCACATATATGTTTGTTTGTATGCTGTATATATATGTATGTATGCATGTTTGTATATATAGAAATGCCTGTTTGTTAGTATATACATATGAACATACAAATATACACATGTGTCCATACATAAATACATACATACATACATTAATACATACATACCTACAAGCTTACTCTCACTGATTTTATCACCAACGCACTTGTCAGGCACTTACTAAAAATTCATCAAAAACTACAAGGCCTACTTGAATTCATGAGAATCGAGGAGTAGAGCACTTGGTAGGAATTCGTTTTATTTAAAATTGCAGTACAACGACTAATAAGATTGGGTCTTTTTTATGACTGGGGCTCTGGCAACATTATTCTTGGTCAAAATTCATGTAAAAACGGTATCTTCAAATATCCTTTAAAGACATGGACCAAAATTTCCCATTCCAATAACCCGGTCAAGTCTCATTCGATTTTTACGAGGTTTGGGATTATTCTTGATTATTCTTGGTCGTTGAAGCTAAGCAGGTTACATGCATGTGCACAAAACCCGCATACCCTCCCTATAGATTTTCAATGAGTTCAGGGTATAAAAAGATCATATTATTTATGTACCAGACACGGCGCTGACTAATGTCAATATTTGCTTAAACTTGCGCCCAGAATTTTGCTGTTGATGTGAAATTTAATAGCCGGCAATTTGGCTGATCTGCGCGCACAATGGGCAGCCATTCAGTTGGGCAGGGGCCCGGGTTCTATTCGCAGGCATTTGGGCCTTCACTTGGACAAAGCCACAAGGCTCCCACGAGCCGGTGGCTGGCCTTTGCTTTGGGCCTAGTCGATGGGGCCAGAATTAAAAGTCAAGTTTTAATTACGAATTACGTGAAATACAGATACAAATACAAGAGTGCGGGCTCATTATGAGCACATATACACGAATACTTGGCGCTTGAATGAATCGCATGCCTTTTCTTTAGAACTTTTAATTAAAAATAAATTGTGAACACGAGTGGGTAGACTTTTGTTCTGCCAGTTGGCTAATCGACTAACTGACAAGCTGACTAGCTGACTAACTGACTGACTGACTGAAATATGACAAACAAATTTTAGATTTTACTTATTTAATGGTGTCATATTAAATATTATGAAATGACATGCAATGAGTGGAAAATACACACACACACACATGCGTACATTTACGTATGACACAAATGTCAATCATACGCAACGTTGCACATGGCATACAAAATAAGAGTGGTTCGAATTTGGGAAATTTTACATATACAGTAAAAGCTGCCTGGAGCGGACACTTGAAAGGGCTCTCAAAAAGGGGGAAAAAACAAGAAGGAGGAAATCTATTCACATTTTATGGACATGTACAGGCAAGCTGTCGAAGCGTCGGACCAACAAGAGAGAAGTAGCCGGTTCAAATTTAATTTTTATGCTAACAACAAACAAATAAAGCCCAAATAGGGTCGAGTACTGCCAATTTCTGAATTAAACGCAATTTGCACAAAGATTATAGTGAAACTTACAATTATACATAATTCACTCAAGCCGAGCCCCGCTGGGTAATTTCTCCTACAAAAACCAGCTGTCCGTTAGCAGAGCTTTCACTGTGTAGGAAAATTTTGCAGTGTTGAATAGAATTAATTGAATTTTAAAATGTTCGCTTAGCACAGTGAAAAAAATCTGCAAAAAATGTGCTTTAATATTCTCTCAGAATTGTTTGCAAATGTTGGCCAATGTTAAAATTGAATTTGATTAGTTTGAATGGACTTTTAGAATAACCAGAGACCTGAGATTTTAATGCTAACGTAAATTTAATGCTTGACTTCCACGCTTTGGCCCTGAAAGTGAGCGGCTCTTGTCTCTGTGAGTGTGTTTACAAGCTAATTCAGTTTTGTACACAAATACATTTCGAGCTGCACACACAACAAATGTGACTAATTGTGAATCATTTCCGCCACAAATCAAGAGGCCCACACACACACACAAATACAATTCAATCGAAGCAAAAATTGAGTAAAACTTTCATTAATTCATTGCCGCTAATTCATGTAGCGACTGCTCCAGCTTCAGCTTCGGCTCCGGTCTCAGCTTCACTTTTGCTTTCTTGGCTTGCAGCCAGCTCATAAATACAATTTTTAAATGCCGCCTTGGCCAAAAATTAACTTTCTCCGCGCGCTTTCGTTGCAGTTTTCTTGCCGTTTTCGTTGCAGTTTCTTTTGTACCCTGTAACCATTGAGAATG